GGCATGGAGCCGTAGTTTAACGCATGGTCCATTCATTTTTCTTCTGCAAGCTGCCGGGTTCTGGATTAAGTCCTTTTGCCTCTGGAGCCATGGCCATACCAGAGAGCCACTTGTGGGAGGCAACTCGCGACCTCAGTAGGGCGTGAAGGACAAGCCAGTACCGCCCCCCTTCCCATGAGACTGCAGTTGCCACGTCACCACCGGCTCATACCTGGCTTTCCAAGCTCTGAGCCGGCAGCCATCTTGTATGCAGTCCAGATGCATTTCTGCCAAAAGCTGCTGGTTTCAAGATTTGTTTCTGAATCTCCAGTATCATGGCTATTAATCAGCTTGATCAGAGGCCGTTTGTAGGCGGCAACTTGGGTTCTCATTGGGATGGGAAGAAAGAGTCAGCTCCACCCCCATGTGATGAGGCCCCGTGTGTCTCGTCACTGCAGGCCCAAACCTGACTGTCCAGTGGCCTCTGGAGGATGGTGGTCACCAGGCTGCCAGGAGGAACTGGCCGAGGCACGAAACCTATTTCCACCTGTAGTGGCCCAGAGCCAGTAACCTACTGCAGGAACAGGAGGCATTTCTGCCAAAAGCCTTTGGGTTCTGAGATTCACTTCTGAGAGCTGGGATCATGGTCATTAAGCAGTTCAATCAGGAACCAGAGAGGCCATGCCTCCAATTATATAGCTGAGCCGGAGGTGGTTTGTGGGTGTGTCTCCCACATACCTAACTTTTGGCCATTTACTTTCTTGGTAAACTTTGCCCCAAGTTTTTGGGGTCTGGCCAAATCACAGCAGCAATTTTGGGGTATCTGGAAGTCTGAAGGTGCCATCAGGCTGCTGATGCACTCACCTCACAGGTACAGATTGACCTGCTGGCGGCACCATACCCCCAACACATGAACTTTTGACGTCCTGTGGAATCCAGTCAGTAATGACTCTAGTCCAGCGGTCATCTCCAAATCTCATTATGTGTCCAGCCCATCTGATTTTTGACAACTTGGCAAATGAGACAGCATCCCTGATTCTTGACCATCGACAAAATCAGAACTTCGGATTCTTTCTCTCATTTGAGTGAAGCGTGATACTCCGAGCATAGCTCTTTCAATTCCTCTTTGGGAGACCCGAATAGCGTTCTCATCCTGTTTTCATAGGCCCAGGTCTCTGAGGCATATGTTAATACAGGAAGAACAGTGGAATCGAAGAGATGTGCTCAGAGCCGGAGGTTCTTCATCCTCTTAGCTATTTCTTTGATGTTCTTGAAGGCGTTCCAAGCTGCTCTTTTTCTCCTGTGCAACTCAGGTGCCAGGTCATTTGTCATGTTGAGTTCTCGACCTAGGTACATATAACTGTTGCATTCGGAGATGTTTGTCCCATTGAGAGTGAATGGAACATCAGGAACGAGACCATTTCTCCTAAACATTGTCTTTGTTAGATTCAGCTGTAGTCCAACTTTTCCACACTCATGGTCGAAGTTGGCTAGCATTTGTGCCACTTGGCTGATGTTTGGTGTTATAAGAACGAAGTCATCAGCGAAGTGCAGGTGGTGTAGTTGCCGACCTTCTATCTTCACTCCCATTCCTTCCCATTCCAGTCATCGCATGACGTTCTCGAGGGTGGCGCTGAAGAGTTTCGGTGAAATAGTATCACCCTGCCGAACCCCTCTCTTGACATCAATGATCACCTCCCTGTAGAATGGTGAGATCCTGGTAGTTAATGTGCAATACAGCTCACAAAGGATCCTGATGTATTGAGTTTGAACGCCCTGTTTGGCTAGTGCCTCGATAACTGCTTCAGTCTCAACAGAATCAAAGGCCTTCTTTAAATCAATGAACGTTAGACAGAGCGGCATCTTGAACTCCCGCGAAACCTCAATGAGCTTGGTTACCGTGTGGATATGGTCGGTCGTGCTAAATCCTTTTCGGAAACCAGCCTGCTCACATGGTTGTTCTTCATCTAGTGTTCTACTAATCCTATTCAGGATGACTCGAGTGAACAGCTTATAGACGACAGACAGCAGGCAGATCAGGCAATAGTTGCCGATGTCATGGATGTCTCCTTTCTTGTACAATAGTACAGTCCTGCTGGTTTTCCATTGGGACGGAACCTTGCATTCAGACAGGTAGTGTGTGATGAGCCGAGCCAGTGTATTGATGAGTACTGACGGCATGTTCTTCAAGTGTTCGGGTCTGACATTGTCTGGGCCAGGTGCTGTTCGATTCTTTACCGACGAAATGGTGTGTCGGATTTCAGAAGGGAGAACTTTGGGAATGACATATCCATCCTGCGGAATTTGGTATGTGGGTAGGTGGATGTGGCTATCAAAGAGATCTGAGTAGAAGTCATGGATAATCTTCTCCATTGCCCTTCTGTAAGATGTGATAGATCCATCAGGACATCAGAGGGCCGTCATCTTTGTCTCGTAGTTGGCGAAGGACAGGCAGGCATTGCGAATGCTTTTCCCAGCTTCTGCCACATCTGCCAACACTGCTGCTCTTCTCTCTTTGAGGTCTTTCTTTATTGCTTCTCTGCACTGCTTTGCGAGCTCGGACGTTTGCTTGCAGTTGCCAGAGGCTTGTGCCAATCCACGTTGGTGAATAAGCTCGAGAGTTTTCGAAGACAGTTGTCTTTTTGTGGCTATCTCTCTCTCGGCGTTCCTCACACAATCATGGAGGTGCTGAACCAGTTGATTGTATTCCTTGTCAATGTTGTCAACAACGGCATCTTCCCATGTTTCTGCAATAGTGCCAAAGAGCTCCCAGTTGGTGGTCATTCTGGGAGTTCTCTTCTTAAACTTTCCAGCCCTTCCTCCCCGCTCTGTGAAGTAGAATTTTGCACGAAGGAGATGGTGGTACGATCCCATTTGGAATTTTGGGACATTGGTCAGGCAAAATCATCGATTGAATATGATGTGGTCAATTTCATTGTGGAACTGTCCACTGGGAGATTCCCATGTACAATGTTTAGATTCGGACTTCTGTAACTGTGAGTTACCATGGATGGTCTTGGTCGACATGATGAACTCAGACAGTCTCTCACCCTGTTCGTTCCATTTTAGGCCATGGGTCCTGATGTGGAGTTTCTCGGCTGATCTTCTCTGTCCTATCTTGGCATTAAAATCACTGACAATGAATGATGTTGTAGAAGGTGTGGTCTTCTCTATAGAACGTCTCCAGCTCCATGTAGAACTTCTCAATTTCTCCTTCATCATAATTGGATGCTGGTGCGTAGACAACGAAGATAGAAACTGCTGGCAGTGAGCCACATCTATTCATGTGTAATAGTCTGATTCGGGTTGTTAGGTATTCGAATGAATCAATGTTTATGGCTAAGTTCGTGTTGACAAGGACACTGACACCACCGACGCCTCTTTTGTCACATGTTCCGAGGAACAGTTCTTCCCCAGTGTCAAAAACGGTATGATCTGATTGACGCCTTCTCATTTCAGTCAGACCAGTGATGTCATACTTGATCTTTCGTGCTTGCACCATCAAGTCCTCAATGGATTCATTCGATGCCAGCGTACGTGCATTGAAAGTACAGACAGTCATATTTGTCCTTCTTCGTTTTGGCAGCCTAGGTCGGCCCTGAGATTTTATGAGCCTCTCCTTCCTCACCTTTTTTAACGCTGCCATATTGGTAGCCCTCTCAGGGTAAGGAGAATGAGACGCATTGTATTTACTGGTTTTGGCATATCGAATACACCACGGGTAGCTTGCCAGGCTCTGCCGTGTGGGCAAAACACTCTCAGTAGCTTGCCAGGCACTCCGAGAGGGATAGAGGCTTTTAGGGCAGCGTCTAATTGCCCTTATAGGTGTTCCCATGCTTCAAACCATATTTCAATGCATTCAAATATGGTGCAGTAATCTTGTATTTAGTGTTTTATGATGTGTTGCGGCTGGGTAGTGGAGGTAGTGGAGGTAATGGAGGTCTGCCGGGCTGCTGGGAGAATATATATCACATATATATATATGTGATATATATATGCAAAATAATGGGGCTGTAGAGTACAGCGGGTAGGGTGCTTCCCTTGCATGATGCCAACTCGGGTTTGATCCCAGAATCCCATATAGTCCCCTGAGCCACCAGGAGTGATTCCTGAGTGCAGAGTCAGGAGTAACTTCTGAGCATTGTCAGATGTGGCCCCTAACCAAAAACAAAACAAAAAAAAACCTCTTTATTAAAATGGTTTTCTTTTGCTTTTTTTTTGCAATGCAGGCATGTGGATGCTTGATTGAAGTGCTCAAATATATGTAGTTACAGTGTGCTGAGACTGTGAAAGTCAGGCATCACACCTAAGCATGTGGGGCAGTGTCCCTTAATCAAATTTCGGGTCTCCCATTTGCAAGGCAGGCACTCTACAGAGTCACATCCCCTAGTGCTTTATTCCAATTTTAGAGATGATACAACCCAGGTTCAAGAAAGTTAAAAATTACCTTTCTTTGACTTCGATTTCTTTCCCTAAGACCTCAATTATTTTCTTTACTTATGACAGTCAAAAAAAATCTTTACTTATGACAGTTTAAAAAAAAATCTTTCAACATTTGATAAAATACTAGACAAAGCAAAATTACCTATCAGCATGTTTAGCTTCTGCAACAAAGTAAAACACTTTTATTTTCAACTACTTGAAATTGCAGAGGAGAGAGATCCTGCAAATCTTTCCTTGCACATCCTGCAAATAACGAGAAAGGGACAGTTAACTGCAGTGTCTGTTATTAAAAATAAAGACATGAAGGGAAATTGTTACCGGTATGCTCTTAGTGTTATAGTTATTTCTTTTAGTGAATGTAAACTTTTTAAATTTGAATTTTCATAGTGCTTTACTTAATCTCTCTCCTCCTATTTTATCTAGTTGTTTTAATATAATTTTCACCAGGATTTGTACTTTTTTAAAGATCCCACCAGTATGGCAAGGGGACTGGGGCTCAGCTGGCCTATTTATGAATTTCAAATCTACACCCAGACCTCAGTATCCAACCATTCCTCTCTTAACCCTTCCCTATGCAGTTGCATTAAAATTCAATGATGCTCCAGCTGAGAATACATATCTCCTTCAGGTATCTAACCTGGAAAGTGCTTTATCTGTAAACCGTTGTCGCCATGGATCTAATCTCTCACGGTACTGTAGATTATTGATGGAAGTGGGGAGAGGGTGTCAAAGTTTGCAAAGAGTTTAAAAAGTGACAAGATTTCAATTTTATTTGTCATGCATTGCATAATCCTGTAACAATGAACAACAAAGTCCACCAGCGATGCTATCATCCTAATATCGCTTGTTTCCTTAGTTTTACTCCTCCCCCACTCCCTAACGTGTTACACATGATGCAAAGTATGCCGTTTATACATCCCAAATGCTCATTTGTAAGGAGGGTTTTTCCCCCTGCTTGCTTCTAAAGAGTTCTGAAGCACTGGGCGGAGTCACTTCAGAGCGGACTCCGGTGGTCCGACCTTGGCCGGGGGCAAGCAGATCGCTCCCCGCGGGCCCGAGGGCCCGGCGCGAGGCCTCGCCCGCGTGCAGTCCCGGGAGCCCGACCACTTGGCGCCTTTTTTCCGCGCCCTGGGCCCGAGCCGCGCAGGCGCCGCGCGCCTCAGGCTCGCGTCGGGGTGCGCTCGCACGTCCGCCCGCGGGCGCTTTCCTCAAGCCCCGCCCCGAGGGCAAGCCGTGCTGCCGGAAGTGACGCAGGCGGGGCGGGGCGGGGCGGACTATAACCGCCGGCTGGGGGCGGCTGTCCCTTCAAAGGGCATCGCGGCGGCCGGCGGCGGCTAGGCACTCGCGGACGGAGCAGGCGCCTGTGTGAGTGACGCGTCGCCTCGCCCCCCACCCCGCTTTCCTCGCGACTCTGGAGGCCGGACTGCTCGGGGGCGGGCAGGGCCGTGCCAGGGTCGTGCGGGGCTCGGGGGCCGTGCCCCGCCGGGTGCCTGGGCCTTTCACGCCGCGCTCGCCCCGCCGGCGCGGCCAGAGCACGTGGCCGCCCAGGAAGTGGCCCCGGGACGGCTGTCGGGGCGCGCGGGTGACCTTGAGCGCTGGCCCTTGTCTTCCCTGAGGACCCGGCTGCGCGGTGGCCCTCGGGCACCGGCCGCGAGTGTGTGCGTGCGCGTGAGCGTGTGAGCAGATCGGGGCCGCCTCGGGCGCGTGTGTGTGTGTGTGTGTGTGTGTGTGCGTGAGAGAGAAGCCCGGGGTCGCCTCGGGCGCGCGTGCGTGCGTGCGCGTGAGAAAGGGAGAGGGTCGGGGCCGCCTCGGGCGCGCGTGCTCAGTGTGGCGTGCGTGTGCCTGTGTGGGGGGGGGGGAGAGAGAGAAGGTCGAGGCCGCCTCGGGCGCGCGTGCTCTGTGCGGTGTGTGCGTGCGCGCGCGCGCGTGTGCGGGCCCGGCTCTGTCAGGCGCGCGGCGCCGCGTGGTCCCGAGCAGCTTGCCAGGAGAGCCGCTGGGTGAGGGCAGGCTTTGTCCTCGGGGGAGCGACCTTAGGAGCCTTGCTGTGCCGATCGCCAGTTCAGAAACTCCACGTATCCCTGTCCCGGGGAGTGAGGAAGAAAAGGCTTGGTCGCCTAACGTTTCCCGCTGTCCACTGTTGGCGGCAGCCTCTGTCCAGACTTTCTTTGTCCCCGACCCCTTTTCTCTCAGGTTCTTTGTTTTTGTTTTTTTAAACGACGTAGGTCTGCTTAGGTAGACCAGACATTCACTGATTCATTCATTTGCTGGAAAATAAGTTTATGCGAAGTTCTGTCAGCCCACCACAGAACTTTGAAGAGGCTGGATTGATTGTAGAGCACTTGCCCCTTCCTGTCGCCCCTCAGTGGGGGAGGCAAATGTGGAAGAATCGAAGTAGGAAATAGCCTCGTTACAGAAGCGCTTGGATACCTGATACCTTTATTTTAGGCTTAGATAAGACTGGGAATACTAGATGCTGATTCACGTGACCCTAACTGGAGCGTTTGCCCGTATTAAAGAAATTTAAGATGATTTCCCGAAGTTGTCTTCTACTGAAGTTGAGACTATATAGAGTATTTGTTGCCCCTGTTTTTTTTCCCTTCTCAGTTTTACGTTGTAATACACTCAATGCCTTAGCCAAAGAATAGATGTTTTAAGTTGTAGCAACAAATTTAATGTCAATTTACAACGTTGAATGTTCTTGTGAAGTGAGTGGTGGTTGTGAGCCTTGCCTGCTGAATTGTTAAATGAAGAGTAACAACTCTTGAGGTGCTGATCTATAATGGGGCCAGGTTCCCAGCTGAGCTTGAATTAGATGAAAGTAAATTAGAAGTGATCTTCTAACATTTGGATCAGTCGTGTGTGCCATGTGCCTCCTGTCACAGATGAACATCAGACAAAACAACCAAACTGACCACAAGTGATCTCGTCAGGAGAATCTTGTCACTTAAGAATTTTTTTCTTCTCAGAATACTAAGAGGAAATGAAATTTCTGCTAACTTTCTTTGGTTTCTTTGGTTGGAATCTTTTTTTAGGAGGAGGAGGGATTGGACCACAACCAGTGGTGCTGGGGGTTGAACTTGGGTTGGTTAGTGCCAAGAAAACAAGCCTTATCTCAGGGCCCTAAAGTTGGAATCTGAAAGCGAGGGAAAATCTTGACCCTTGGAGCCAGGAAATGTTGCAGAGAGCTAGGGAGCTTGTGTTGAGGTGTAGAGGCACAGTTCAGTTCTGCACCCCATGGATATGGAGCACCAAGCCTAGTGTGACTAAAAAAGCAAAGGGGAAAACCTTGACCACCTCTTTCCAAGCCCTTCTAGGTATGTGCAAGTATTTGAGTATATGCACATATTCTGAGGACTATACAAGAAGATGTGTAACATTACTGTAATTTTTTCATTTTCAACATCAGATGCATCTAGGGAAGTAGTTTACAAAACAAGTAATTAACAAATTGCTTAGTAACTAGTACACCCAGGTGGCAAACTGAAGTTTTTCTCCTTTTGGCCAGAGAGTGAGAGAGAGAGAGAGAGAGAGAGAGAGAGAGAGACCGCTCAATGGGCTACGCTCATGATTTGCATATAAGAATCCTGGGTTTAATCCCCAGCTCTGAGCACTGCCAGGTGTGTCCCCAGCCTTTCCCCACTGCCCCACCATCCCCAGGCCCCTAAAAAAGAAGAGAGAGATTTCCTACTTTTCTTTTTAAGTCATACCTGGCTATGCTCAGGGGTTACTTCTGACTCTGCACTCAGGAATTACTCCTGGCAGTGCTCGGGGGACCATATAGGATGATGGGAATCAAACCCGGGTTGACCTTGTACAAGGCAAATGCCCTACCCGCTGTGCTATTGCTCCAGCCCTGAGATTTCCTACTTTTAAGAAAAAGTTTCCCTACTTTTAAAACTCTTCTTACTGCCCAAGCTTTGTTCGTTGATTTCAGGATAAAGTAGTGGCAAAGATGAGTCAAGTTTTTAGGTCCAAGGTTTTCAATTTCTCCTACATTCCTCATGCCCCAGTTCTATTACAAAATAAAAAATATAATAAATATTTACTTTTTACTAGTTACTACTTCCTTCCATATCTAGTATTTTAGAAGAGAGGAATCAAACCGAAATGGATAGGTGAGATAGTACAGCCCATAGGGTGGTTGACCATGCACACAGCTGACGTGGGGTTGGTCCCCAGTATCCGATATGGTCCCCCAAGCACTGCTTGTAGTAACTCCTGAGCATCATCAGGTATGGCCCAAAACAAAATTTAAAAAATAGTCTTTGAGCCTGGAAGAAATGAGTAGAACTTCAAGAACAAAGGGAGTAAAGGTATAAAGGCTGGGCTAGATTCTCTCCTTGTGGAGAAGATGGAGATCAGTATTAGATCGTGAAGATCTCTAGAACAGTTTCTCAGCCTTTTTCTAACCATTGACCCCCTTTCTTGCTTTGTTTCTTTCCTTTGCCACCTGTCCATAAGGGTTTTTGCCTCTTTTTAGGCAGTTTTCATTTTTGGTTCCCCTTATTAATATCCTGGGGGCACTGAGGGCCATATGAACCTAGTTAAGAACACTGCTGTAGAACACAGCCTCAAACTGAAGCGCTTCATTTAAAGTGAACTGCAAGGCTTGGAAGGTGGCTCAGTGTTACAGCAAATGTGTATTTGAGGCCCTGGGCTCCTTTCCCAGCGCGCCATCCTCCCCACCCAGCATCACTGGCTATAATCCTGGTTCCACTGCAGCTCCACCAGCACCAGTGGTTCTTCTAGTCACTCCAAAAGCGGCGTTTGTTAGTAGTAAGAAACAAATAGTTTATTTTTGTTTGTTAGGGGGCCCATACTCTGTGGTGTTAGAATTTCTGCTCAGTTCAGTGCTCAGTTCAGTTCTTGTGTGCCAAGGGTCAGACTTGGGGCCTCAGTGCAAAGCATGCAGTCCAGTCATTTGCACTAGCCCCCCAGCCCAAGCTATAATATTATTTCTGGTAAAATGTATTGTCAGCTTTGAGTATGTGAAAGTATATTTTGGTACCTGATTTTCCCATTGTTCCTTAGCTATGTGTACTCTATAGAAAACTTAAAGATAATGAAATGGAAATTAACTTCCCATTCCTTGAAAGTAAGAATAAGGTGATTTGAATTTTAGAGACGTTTGTAACCATAGTCTGTCAAGTATCATAACTTGCTTTGTTACTTCCATCCAGTGGCTTAAAGAACCTAAATCAAAGGTTATTAACATGAGAATCATTGTTTTCCCAGTATTCTTGAGAACAGCAGGGATAAACATGAGACAAGGACCATTTTGAAAGAATGACTAATTGTGTGTGTGTGTGTGTGTGTGTGTGTGTATCTTTCTATGAATTTTATATTTACTCAGTTCTTTGCTGATGAAGAGTTAAAAGATCAGATTAAAATAAGAATTGCCTATGTGATACTTTTCCCTCTGAATTGATTTAGTTTATGTGATTTCTCAATTTTGTGTCTTGGGATTGAAATCGAAATAGTGTTTCTGTTATTTAACTGATCAGTTTTCTTGGTTAAGGAAAAAATAAGTGGAACCAGAGCCATAGTACAATGAGGTAGGGCATTTTCCTTATATATGGCCAACTTGGGTTTAATCCCTGCTATCCCATATGGTCCTCCTCAGTGCATCCAGCTATGACTCAAAAACAAAACAAAATTAAAAGTACTTATATTTTAATAATTAAAAGCATCTTTTTATATAATACATTCTGTTAATATTTTTTATAGACTTGTCAACCAGTCACCTTATTTAGTTTGTTTAGGTCATTTATTTAGATGTATTGTCAGCATTAAAATTAATTTAAAATTGGAGACTTTGAGAAGTGATTGGTTAGGACAGATGAGTATTAAACTTGTAGACTGTTTTTTTCTTAGAAAAGGGTGAGTAAAATTGGTTCAGGGTGGGGCCTTCTAGTTCTGGCTTTAGCGATTGGGTTTGTACACTTCTGGTGCAATGATAGTGATAAGTTTTATGTACCAGAAGGGGTAAGAGATTGTGCTTCCAGGAATTTGGTCTATTACTTATTGGTCTTTAAAGCTTGGGGGTTAAAAAATTTTTTAAATCTATAAACTGTGGTTTCTGGATGAGACTTTGCTAATGTCAGTTTATAAAATGGTTTTCATTTATATTCATGTATTTCACAACTGTGTGAAGTACTGTTATACGTACTAGAAGTATTACTGCTGGTATAAGAAAAGTCTTAAAATATGAAATAAATTTTCATATTTTGTTATTTTGGGAGCTGAGGGGAAATACATTTCCATGGTGCTGGAGCGCCTGCATATGAAGCATGCAAATTGGCCCTTTGAGCCATCTCCTCAGGCCCCAAATAAAGTAAGTTTAATATGTAATAATATGGTATATGAAAAGTCTACACAATAGACTTTTGGGCCAGAACAGTACAGTACAGCGGGTAAGCCTTGCATGGTGTTGTCCTGGGTTGGGTTCCCGGCATGCTAAATGGTTCTCCTAAGCAAGTTCACACTTAGCTCCCACACTGACAGCTATCTCACTAATACTCTTTTAATATTAGGCTCTTCTGTGTGGTGGCTCAGAATGATGGATCAAGCGAGATCAGCAATCTCTAACTTGGTAAGATAAAGAGTTAAATTCTTTTTTCTGTCACCAGTTATAAGAATATGAGATATCCAACTGTGGCTTTTACTCTGTAATATCTAAAGCATCTATCTTGAGATATTCATTTACATTTGAAGTATAGTGGCCTTGAGACATAACTGATCATACGGAGGAATGTGTATTCTGTCTTGAGTAGAATTGTAGCACTATAGCACTGTCCTCCCGTTGTTCGTCGATTTGCACGAGTGGGCACCAGTAACGTCTCTGTTGTGAGACTTGTTACTGTTTTTGGCATATCGAATATGCCACGGGGGCTCTCTGAGAAGGATGGGGGAATCGAACCCGGGTTGGCTGCATGCAAGGCAAACGCCCTACCCGCTGTGCTATCACTCTAGCCCTGAGTAAAATGAATTATAGAAAATCCTGTCAAAAGTTTCTGGGTGTTTTGGGTCTAATAAATGGAGATAAAATATATTAAAGTTCTGATCGTTTACCAGTATGTAGGCACAACAGAAACCCTGATGAAAAATCTTAATAAAGAAGACTTAATATGTGAACTTAATTCTTTAACTATCATCAACAGAACTGTACACAGGGAACAGTGTTGGTTTGAAAGAAAAACTGCTTTCTTCAGAATGTATAACAGTTATAGTAGTGTCTCGATTACAAGTATAATGTTTGACAAAAAATTTTGTAAGTATTTCTATACCCTTTTTTACCAAGATTTCTTTCTCTTAAAAAAAAATGTTTTCATGGTTTTCAGTTTGGTGGAGAACCATTATCATATACCCGGTTTAGTCTGGCTCGACAAGTAGATGGCGATAATAGTCATGTGGAGATGAAATTAGCTGTAGATGAAGAAGAAATTGTTGAAAATAACGTGAAGGGTAATCATGCCAGTGTCAAAAAAACAAAGAGGCTCAATGGATGCATCTGCTATGGAACTATTGCTGTCATCATCTTCTTTTTGATTGGTAAGCGTGTCCTTTCAGGACTTAATGCTCCTTTAACCAACTCTTTGGAGTCTGTTTATTCATATCAGCAAATATTTATTTTGTATTTTATATGCTACTTTAATAGACCTTGAAATAGGTCCGAGATTATAAACCTACCTTTGAGTTTAGCCTAGTGGGACAGGAGAGACACATGCATGCATCCTTTCAGTGTAGTGTCAGATGTTACTCTGAAAGTATACACAGGATATTTGTACCATAGAAGCTGATCCGAGGATTCAGGTAAGCCTTCTGGGAAGAAAATGTGTAGCTATATTTTGAAATAGTAATTGTTTAAAGTAGAACAGATTGTATGGTTTAAAATACAAAGAATTAAAATGATGTGCTTTTCTTTCTAACTTATGATTTGATTAAAATCATTGTTTTTTAAGTCAGCTAAAAATATTGATAATTCCATAGGAATAGATTGTAAATGAAATCCTTTGTGTTCACCCCTAAAATTTTTCTTGCTAGGATTTATGATTGGCTACTTGGGCTATTGTAAGCGTGCAGAACTAAAAGGTGAATGTGAGAGACTGGCTGCAGCAGAGACAGGGAAAACAGAACCTGATGAACCTGAAGAAAGTTTCGAACCTGAAGTATCACCTCTCTTACTGTGGACAGACCTCAAAACAAAGCTGTCAGAAAAAGTAAATACTGTAGATTTTACCAGATCCCTCAGGTAAGCGTTGAGCTGCTTTGTAAGTTTAGTCTTGGGACTTAGAAGAAATGGATCATTAGGTGCAGGGAAGCAAAACAGGTGACAATCTGGAGGAAAGGTTTTATAGTAGGTAAGGCTTTCCCTAGTTAACTAGAAAGTAAAGAGTACATACTATATTGATAGAGAGAACAGCCCCTTTTTTGTAGGGGTTATACTGAGAAATAGCACTTCCTTTTTCTAAAAAGAAAAAAAAACCCTTAGCTTCTTGATCTTTCAATTGGTTCTTGTAGCTTGCTTACTACAGAACTTTCTCCTGATGAGGTTTTCTACCTTAACACATATAAGTCTTGTTGAGAACTCTTACTGTTTGTAAAGAAGTCATAGCCTTCTTTACTCTCTGAAGCAGGACTCATGCGGAACGCCTCTAGTTTTACTTGATTTCTTCTTGATTTTTCACTCATCCAAACCATAGAAAGTGCCCTTAAGCGCATATGCTGCCCGAGCCCAGGTGCTGCTTTGCACCCCTGTGGTTGAGCACATGTGGCGCCTCCATCTCGCCTCTTGAGATACGTACTTTCATGCTTTCATGTCCAATGATGGGATGTGTCTAGGGGCTCTTTCTCCTCCCTTGGAGAAGCCTGTCTTCTCTCTTGAGCGAATTACTCTTCCCCCTCCACACCTTCAAAAACCCTCCAAATAAAATCTATTTACTTCGCTGCTTGTCTACTCCTGAAATTCTTTTCTGTGGGGAAAAAAAAGTGCCCTTAAGGATTTTGTCCTTAGATTTTTTAAGGTTTTCCTTAGATATCTTAACTCAGTAGAAAATATATTTATCGCTTGTTTTTGTTACATCTTGTTTCAATGGTATATATTTTTTTAAATCTTAAGCTTGAAATCTGCATTTTCATATCATCAAGTGAATACTTGGATGTATACTATAGATTGTACAGAAAGTGAGTGTAGTTTATACTAGCACTCTCCCCACAAAGATATCAAGTAACTTAGGCCAGAGAGAGAGCTGAGATTACCCCCCCGAGTGCATTCTTAAGTCTAGGTTCAATACCTAGCACCTCATGGTTCCTTGAGAATTGCTGAGAGCAGTTCCTGAGCACAGAGTAAGGAGTAGAAATTGAGAAGTGCCAGATGAAGATGAGAGCTGCAGAAGATCAGAACAGAGAACAGTTTGGTCAGAGGATTCAGAATGCTTCAGGGCAGATGAAAATCAAAGCTTGATTTTACTCCCTATTGTACTTCCTCTTTGCCTTTAATAGATGCTCTGGAAGCTCCTCATTTACCTTAAAACTACACCTAAAACGGGGCTGGAATGATAGTACAGTGGGTAGGGCATTTGCCTTGCACATGGCCAACCCAGGTTCAATCCCCGGCTTCCCAAATAGTCTCATGAGCACCGCCAGGAGTAATCCCTGAGTATTGCTGGGTATTACCCTAAAAAAAAAAAAGTAAATAAAAATTAAAAAAAAAAAACCTAAGAAGATAAATTGCATTGGAATGGGGTTCTTGAAGTTCTAGTGAGACATTTGTTTACTTATTTTTGCCACCCCAGTTGTGCTCAAAAGGTCCTGGAGTCTCACTGGCAATTCTTACCCGTCTAGGCTGTCAGTTTAGTGCAAGAACCCAAGGATGCTCTGCTGTTAAAGCCCTGCTATGCCAGCAATATCCAGGCCTCCTCCTGTGGTGCTGGAGTCCTCCAAACCCCCACCCCCTAGAGATGCTCAGATGTGGTGCTGGGAATCAAACTAGGGCTGGGCACATGGTAGACATGTACTGTACTGTCTCCCAGCCCCAACCAGAGAGTTTAACAAATTCAAAGTAAGATACCTTCAGAAACTGAACACCAGTTGTTGGGGTTTTTTTTTTCCCTTCTACATTTATCTGGTCGATTTAACTATGAGGAGAATAGTTGAGTTAGGCTTTTAAAACAATTTGTGTGTTGAGTTCAATATTTTAAACTAAATTTATTTAACAAGTAATCTTTTTCCTGCAGGTGGCTGGGTGAAAGTTTATATACCCCTCGTGAGGCTGGATCCCAAAAAGATGAAACCCTTGGTTTCCTCATTGAAAATAAATTTCGTGAATTTAAACTCAGTAAAGTTTGGCATGATGAACATTCTGTTAAGATTCAAGTTAAAGGCAGGTATGTTGAAGCATGATAAATGCTTTTTTAAAAAAAAAAATTAAAAATGTGCTAAATATTGCCAGGAATTTAAAAACAAATAATGTAAACTCAATTGTTTTAAAGCTATGTAATTTTATTTTTCAAGGAAGACAATAACTACATTTAATGTACTTTCACAGTTCTAGAAACTCGGTGACCATACTGCGTACAAGTGGTGATGTACCATACCTGTTGGAGAATCCTGATGGTTATGTGGCATATAGTAAGGCTGAGACAGTTACTGTAAGTAAGGCGCAAAATGCAGAAGACTTTTTCCCTGTTAAATAACTCAAAAATAAGTTTTCTTTACTATCCTTAGTTTTAGTATCAATTTACTTGGAAAATGCATCATAAACTATTCTTGTTCTTAACTCTCTTCTGTATGTAGATGAAATAAAATCTCAAGTCCTCATCTAAACATACCAGATCCTAAGTAATCTTAACTGCTCTTCTCCTTTCTCAGTCTCTACTATGACTTCCCAGCTATTTCACAAACACTCAAACTCAAGCATATTTCAACTTCAAACTTTTGTAAAACTTCCCTTTCCCTTGCCTGGTCCATTCTTCCCCTAAATATCAACATGGACTTCTTCCCTCACTGTGCAAGTCTCAGTTCCAGCATTACCTCTTTAGTAAGAGTCATTACATTATTATTATTATTATTATTATTATTATTATGGCTTTTTAGGGTCAGGGCTGGAGCAATAGCACAGCGGGTAGGGCATTCGCCTTACACGCGGCCAACATGGCCGACCCGAGTTCGATTCCTCCACCCCTCTCGGAGAGCCCGGCAAGCTACCGAGAGTATTCGATATGCCAGACACAGTAACAACAAAGTCTCCAATGGAGACGTTACTGGGCCCGCTCGAGCAAATCGACGATCAACGGGAGGGCCTTTACCTTTACTTACCTTTACCTGGCAATGCTCAGAGGTTACCCCTACCTGGCTTTGCAATCAGGAATTAATTCTTGGCAGTGTTCCAGGAACTATTTAGAATGCTAGGAATCAAACCTGGGTTCTCCATGTATAAAACGAGTGGCCTCCCCACTGTACTGTTGCTTCAGCACCAAGGTCCTTACCTTGGTCAGCTTCCCGTTTTCCTACTTTCTTTTTCTTTCTTTTTTTTTTGTTTTTGAAACAATCCCTCAGCATTTATTGTCATCGAATATAAACATAACAGTGATCCAAACAATATGAACAAATGTTTTAAAACTACTTTCCCCCCAAAAAACACCTAGAAAACAAACTGCAGTGCCTTCTCAACGATTTCTCACTTCATCCATGTTTTCTAGTTGGAGACACTCTGGAGCAGAGTGACAGTATCTCCTTTTAGCATGATCCAACCCAGTTGTTTTCTTGACTTTGTTTTTGAGTGGATCTCTTCTGCATCATCTAACACGAAGTTCATATACTCCTCAAAGCCAATGATGCAGCCCTCTATCTGCATATTCACTTGCTCCTATCAGATATTCCATTATGTGGGGACTTACATAAAAAACCTTTTCTTTTTTCTTTTCTTTTAAATCACACCTGGCGTTGCTCAGGGATCTGCACTCAGGAATTACTCCTGGCGGTGCTTGGGGGACCATATGAGATGCCAGAGGTCAAACCTGAGTCAGCCACAGGCAAGGCAAGTGCCATACCTGCTATCCTGTTTGTTATTCTGGCCCATAAATAACCATCTTGACTGGAGTCTAGGTTTAGTTTAATTACATAAACTTGATCTTTTAAAATTTAGGCAAATATGGCCAAACCACTTCAGAAAGAAAAAAAAAAATGTCTTCCAAGTAGTGCTTGGAAAGTTCTGGGTTTGTTGTCCCTTCCTGACAATTCTCAACCAGTTGGTTTAGATCCATGGGTTTGAGGATATATATAAATAAATGATGATACCTTATTTATTTATTTATTGCTTTTCTGGGTCACACCCGACGATGCACAGGAGTTACTCCGGGTTCATACACTCGGGAATCACTCCTGGCAGTGCTCAGGGGACCATATGGGATGCTAGGAATCGAACCTGAGTTGGCCATGTGCAAGGCAAACGCCCTACCCGCTCTGCTATTGCTCCAGCCCCCAAGGATATGAAACTTTAAAAGGCCCTGAAGTGCCAGAGATTGATTCCCTGGACCATCCTGAAAGTGCTTGAGGGCCTCCAGAACTGGACCCAGCTTGGAGACCCATGTGGTATCAGAGATGAGACGGGTGTTGGTGACCTGCAGGGTATGTGCCTTAATACCTGTGCTATCTCTCCAGCCCCTACTACAACGGGGAAAATATTAGTGCTCTAGAGGGCCAGGGAGATCATCCATGTGGCAGAGCACATGTCTAGCCAACCCGGGTTTGATCCCTGGCACCCCATATGGTCCTCTCAAATCCCGCCAGGAGTGATCCTGAGCCTGAACCCAGAGCCAGGAACAAGCCCTGAGCACTGACAGGTGTGGCCTAAAACAAAAAAATAATAAAAATAGGTAGTGTGGATTTACCTAGGTCTCTCGGGTTAAAAAGCCACAGATTTGCATATGGCTTTTACCTAGTGGAGATCTTCTAAGCCAGATGAATTTTTTGGTTATTCTTTATCTCCTTTTCTGTGTGGTGTCACTTTCCCTGGCTGCCTGCCAGCCAGGGGTGTGGAAGTGGTAGATTATTCTCTGAGGAAATACTGATAATTTTAGTTTACCTTTGAACTTTCTGTGTTTAGATGTTGTGAATATTAGTTTATAGCTGTACATCTGAACTCTATAAGAACATTTTAGGAGCAGAATCTGTGTAAATGTCAAAAAGATGATGTTTCTGGGTTACTTTATTGTAATAGTGTTTAGCATTTATCACACAGGACATTCATTTAAGACTTAGACCAGGGGCCAGAGTGATAGTACAGTGGGTAGGGAGTTTGCCTGCACATGACTGACCTGAAATCAGGAACTGGCATCCCATAGAGTCTCATGAGCACCACCAGGAGTGATTCTTGAACACAGAGGCAGGAGTAAGCCCTGAGCATTGCCAGGTGTGGCAGAGGTTGGGGGAGGGAGAGGGAGAGAGAGGAGAGAGACTGAGTTCTGTGTGTGTTCATAATCAAACATCAGGAGTGGAAACATGATATAACTGCTGAAACCATGGCTAATTTTTAATGTATTGATATGCATCTTGGTGTTTAACATATCCTGTTAGCTGTTCTCTTCACCCCAAGCATGAAGCAATGTAAAATAACTCCATAGGAGCGATAGCACAGCGGGTAGGGCGTCTGCCTTGCACGCAGCCAACATGGCCGACCCGAGTTCGATTCCTCCGCCCCTCTCGGAGAGCCCGGCAAGCTACCGAGAGTATTCGATATGCCAGACACAGTAACAACAAAGTCTCCAATGGAGACGTTACTGGGCCCGCTTGAGCAAATCGATGATCAACGAGAGGGCCTTTATTTTACTTACTTACATTAATATGTACATTATCTATGTTTTTGTATATTATATACATTTATTATATGAATGTATTTTAATATAAAAAAGAATATACATGAAAGGCAGCAAGGGGTAACAAAAGTCATGCAATCTAGAATACCAGAAATCTTGATTTATTCTTAATAACCTGACATTTTTTAAAATTGAAGTAGCATTACTTTATATATAATACTTCAAATTCTAAGACAGCATCACTAAAAATAGTATAAATTTACTATCAAAAGTCCATTTCTGTCTTTAACCATATAGTTATCTCTTTTGTCTTGATTTTCCCATTTCTTTTCCCATCTGGTTACCATTCATTGATTTTTCAGTTCAAAGGATTACTTGGTTTGTTCATTTAGGGGCATTCCAGATAGTGTGCCTTCTCAGTGCTGCCTGGGGAAGGGGGAACCCATGATGGCAACTACATATTCGCCTTTTGATGGGCACTTAGGTTGTTCCCAATGCTTGGCTATTGTAAATACTGTTCCAGTAAACATAGGGGTTCGTGTAGTTTTTTGAATTAGTGGGTTTAGTTGGGGGAGGGAATTCTCAAAAATAGGTAACTAGAATTTTTATTCTGACAGTTTTGACTTTAAAATACTCATTAATTGTTTCTAGGTCTTGGCTTCCTTTTTTTTCCCAATTTTCTTTTTTTCTCTAGGATTTGATCTGTAAACGGTTACAGTCTAGATATTTTAGTACCACAGTGCTTATTAAATCTAATGTCTTTATTCTAGGGTGAACTGGTTCATGCTAATTTTGGCACTGAAAAGGACTTTGAAGGGTTAAAGTTTCCTGTGAATGGATCTCTAGTCATTCTTAGAGCAGGGAAAATAACTTTTGCTGAAAAGGTAAGTGTAAGTTATTAAATGTATTAATACTAAGTCATTGTTCAGTGAAATGGTATTTTAAATTTTTTTAATTTCTGAAAACTAGTAGACTCAAACTCATACCTGATAGCATCATCTATTACAGTGCTTAACAGGGCAGGAGAGTTAAGTACAAAGTACAAAGGTTAAGGCACCTGCCTTGCACATGGCTAACCCCAGTTCAATCCACAGTGTCCTATATGGTCCTCTAAGCACATAACAAGAGTAATAGTTCTGAGCACTACTAGAGGTGGACTTAGAGTCAAAAAAGAAAGTTCTTAACAAACCAAATAGGTTTCACTTATATAAAGTAATAAAATACTTCACAACTGTGACACAGCCACTTGGAAAACTTTCAGGCATTGTGTTTAGTCAGAAATTAAGTTATCAAATACTTATACGAAAATTTAAATTATCTACAAACTGAGTTTTAGGAGTATATAAAATTCAGTTATACCTGTGTTTCATGAAAAGGAAGATTAAGGACTGGAAGAATAGCTCACATCTCTGGAGCTAACTGGGACTCTGGGTTCAATTCCCAGCATATTGTGCTTCCTGGAATACCAAGCCAAGAATTGCCACCGAGCACTTGCAGGTGTGGCCCTTCACAAATAAAAGGAAAATTAAATTGAAAGTAAACCCTAGGGCATGCTGAAAGAAGACTATAGACTGAACATGATTGACACTCAGTGCCTCTTTTGCAAACCACAGCACCCAATAGGAGAGAGAAACAAAAGGGAATGCCCTGCCACAGAGGCAGGGGGGATGGGGGTGGGAGATATACTGGGATCATTTGTAGTAGAGAATGGGCACTGGTGGAGGGATGGGTACTCGATCATTGTATAACTGAAACCCAAGCACAAAACTTTGTAAGTCTACAAATCTACAGCTCTACCTTATGGTGTTTCACTAATAAAAATTTTTTAAAAAAAAGAAAGTAAACCCTAGGGAGGGACTGGAGCAATATTATGGTGGGTAGGATGTTTGCCTTGCACACGACTGATCCACGTTTGATTCCCAGCATCCCATATAACACCCCATATGGTCCCCAGAGCACTGCCAGGAATAACCCCTGTGCATTGCCAGTGTGACTCAAAAAGAAAAAAAAAAGTAAACCCTAGGGAGCATGAGTGATGGTACAGTGGGGAGGGCGTTTGCCTTGCACGAAGCTGACCTAGGTTTGATCCCTGGCATCCCATTTGGTCCCCCAAGTACCACCCTGAGGGTAATTCCTGAGTGCAGAGGCAGGAATAGCCCCTCTGCATTACTGTGTGTGACCCAAAAAACAAAACAAAAATAAAATGAAAGTAAACCCTACCCAAGGGTAGCAGCATATCAAATAGGTTGTTTTGTGTGAGGCTTTATTATCTCCCTTATAATTTTACTATTTTTTTAAATATTTATTTTTTATGTAGGAGTACTGCTATTCATTCAGCCACTGATTTGCTGATTGAATTGGGCATGACCTCCACCTTTTTTTTTCATTGTTTATAATTTTATTTCTTGAATCACAGTGAGAGCAGTTACAAAGCTTTCAGGTTTAAGTCTCAGTCATACAATGAAACAGCCGTACCTTCACCAGTGTCCATTCTCCACCCTTCAAAACCCCAGTATACTACCATCCCACACCCTCCCCCTACCTGTGGGACAGATGATTTCCACATTACTCCCTCTCTATTTTGATTACATTCAGTATTTTGACACCAGACCCACCATTATTATTTGGGATTTTACCCCAGCACTCAGATCTGCTGAAAAGGCAACAGTAGACAATTTGTTTTCTGTTGCTGGTTATGAATAACATATGATGTTGCGTGGCTGCAGTAGTGGCTGCGCGATTTTGAAAATTCTGAAATTTTAACAATTAAATCTGGAGGAATTTCTACCAAAACCTGCTGGGTTCCAAGATTTGTTCCTGAGTCTCTTGGATCATGGCCATTAAGCAGTTCGATCAGGAACCAGAGAGGCGATACTTCCAATTATATAGCTGAGCTGGAGGTGATTTGTGGGTGTCTCTCCCACATAACTAACTTTTGGCCACTTACTTTCTTGGTAAACTTGGTCCCAAGTTTTTGGGGTCTGACCAAAGGCACAGCAGCAATTTTGTGGTGTCTGGAAGTCTGAAGGCACCATCAGGCTGCTGATGCACTCGCCTCACAGTTACAGATTGACCTGCTGGTGGCACCATACCCCCTCCCTTATAATTTTAAACTCAGTCTTGAGGCAGGTGTTTTTTCTAAACATGTAAACTATATGAAATATTTGGGAGTGTTGATAGATTCTAATATAGTTCTTTGTCTCAGCCTAAACTCACTAATGTACCTTAATAAGAATAGATAATTTTTGAACTTCACGTGTTTTTTCTTTTGTTGTTTTTTAGGTTGCAAATGCTGAGAGATTTAATGCAATTGGTGTTTTAATATACATGGACCGGGCTGATTTTCCTGTTGTTGATGCAGAGCTTCCACTCTTTGGACATGTGAGTTCTCATTTCTGAAGTAAATACTTTTTTTGGGCTTTCAGAATTTTGCTGAATTCCATCTACATTATCAGAGCTAGAACTTTGCTTTCTTTTATGCCTTCTTCTGGGATAGGATAGTTTAAGCAGTAAGGTAGGAGATGATTTATATATGACTTTGAGACATAGTTATTACTGTAAAATGTGCTTTCTCAGTCATTTTTTGAAATGAAAACTAGGCACATGCCATATAAAAATTTGAGTTGTTGATGGTAGAACCATTCATACTTTAAAATACTTATTTAGGGGCTGGGGAGATAATTCATAGTGGTGGAGCACATGCTTTGTATGCTGATGCTCAAGTTTCAGTCTGGCATCATGAGTCCCTTGAGCATCTTATTGGTGTAGTCTCAGAATATTATCAGGTATGGTCGAAGGGCCTCACCTCCAGAAACACATACATAAATATTCTAATTTAAAACAGTGCTATAGTCTCATAGCACAAAACACAAAACAACCTACAGGGAAGTATTTGAATATGTGACTATGTAGCTAATTATACTTTTGTTTTTTCAGGCTCATTTAGGAACAGGTGACCCTTATACACCAGGATTCCCTTCTTTCAATCATACTCAGTTTCCACCATCTGAGTCATCAGGATTACCTAATATACCTGTACAAACAATTAGCAGAGCCTGTGCAGAGAATCTCTTTAAGTAAGTTTTGATTTAAAAGCTATTTTACATGTAAGTTTCTATAAGTAGAGAAGAATAAGTTGGTTTGATATAACACAAAATGGCTATCTATATTTTAGAACAACACTATAATTTTGCATAGATTAAAAAAAACTTCCATAAAGTGACTTTAATGTACATTGGATTTATAAACCCAATTTATGTGATTTATGTGTTTCTGTTCAGTTCATAAATCATTTGTGTAGTAATTCTATAGCTTCCACTGACTGCTTGCAGTGGTAAGCACTTAATTGCCAGTTGCAGCTCATTCAGTTATTGGAGAATATCAGCTAGAATATTCATAGTGAACATCTTAGTTTTGGTGATATCTATTAATTTTTTATTAATTTCTCTTAGAACAAAACAGTTGAAATTTCCTTATTGTTGGGTTTAGTATTTTCACTTCTCGTCAGTTTCTAGATGCTTTATAGTCATAATTAGTCCTTCTGAATATCCTCCCTAGTTTATTAGTATCCTTCTTTAAAAATGGAGCCTAATCTGAGCACTGTAGCACTGTCATCCCGTTGTTCATCGATTTGCTCAAGCGGGCTCAGTAACATCTTCATTGTGAGACTTTGTTGTTACTGTGTTTGGCATATCGAATACATCACGGGTAGCTTTCCAGTCTTAGCCGTGCGGGCGAGATACTCTCAGTAGCTTGCGGGGCTCTCCGAGAGGGGCAGAGGAATCGAACCTGGCTCGGCCAGGCCAGCCGCGCGCAAGGCAAACGCCCTGCCGCTGTGCTATCGCTACAAGCCATTTATTTTTATATTGTGATATGGATATATTTCCCACAATGGAGATTTTGTTTTAAACAGTAAAGTGAGCATTTATTTCCTGCGGAGACGTAATACAGTTGTTCTAACCCCACTGATCATGTTTCTTAGATAAAATGTAACTGGCTATGAGGAAGTAAATTTTTGTCTTATTTTAATGTAGTACTTTATCAAGCATTAAGGAAGACTGATTTTCCTTGAACCAGTGGGAAGTAACAATAACTCTGATTTTCCTTTTCTACTTCTAGAGATATGGAAGAAGATTGCCCAACAAGTTGGAACGCTGAGTCTTCATGTAAGTTGAAAACCAAGAAGGATAAGACTGTGAAGCTCTCCGTAAACAATGTGCTGAGCGAAAGAAGAATTTTTAACATCTTTGGAGTTATTAAAGGCTTTGAAGAACCAGGTAAGGACACTTATATGTGGTTGCCACTGCTGCCCCACCCCCACCCCACATACACACAACCACTGGCTCTTTCCCCTCACCCACCTTCTGAACCACAGACCTCGGGTGGTCAGGATCCCCTTAATCTTTTGTGGCATAGGGCACAATTGCAATTGCCATGGGTGCTTCTTGATCCACTGAATAAGGAATGCTGGCTTGACTTTGTATCATGAAATAATAAATCTTATTTATCCTACCATGATAAATTTTATTAAGGTGGTAATTAACTTAGGAATTTAACTTTAATTTTATTAATTTTTACTAATTTTATTGGGAAGATCATTATCTTGTAATAAATTTAGAAATTCAATTTGTCAAAAACTGACCAGAAAATCTTTTTTAAGTTACTGAATAGACCAGCACATTTCTTCTTAAGGAAGCAGGTAATAAATATTTTGCAACTATTCAGTTCTGCCATTAAATCACAAAAATGGGTAGAAACAATATGTAGTGACTAGTTATGCTGCTATGGTTTGCCAATCCCTAAGATAGGCAGCTGTCAGTGTAAACGTGACTAGTCACATAGTCACATAGTCCTATCATTTAATAAGGAAAGCCTTTGAACCTTAGTTCTTTCTTAAAATAATTAGCACAAAAACAGAATTGGTGAGTAAATTTAGCTTGTAATTGAGTAACCATGCTTAAAAGAGAAAATGGTATTATTTCTCTGGAGTCCAAGTCAGATCTGAAACGTGTCTTAATACGTATGGTAATCTCTCCATTAAAGTGCTTATTCTAGGTTTTAAATATTAAATATTTGTATTATTATAAATAATAAATGTATTAAATAGTGTAAAACAACTGGTTGGGTTTCTTTTCCCCCCTACTCCACAGATCGCTATGTTGTAGTAGGGGCCCAGAGAGATGCCTGGGGTCCTGGAGCTGCAAAATCCAGTGTAGGAACAGCTCTCCTATTGGAACTTTCCCGGATATTCTCTGATATGGTTTTAAAAGGTAAAGCATAAATTCTGGGCCCTGAATATCTGTGTTTTAAAGATGTATAAATGTTACAGTAATGCTTTGTTCGCTTTGCCTACTGTGTAAGGGTCACTACTGGCAGGTGCTCAAGGACCAGTGCTGGGAATTGATTCAGCATCAGCCATATCCAAGAATGTTTATTTTTATGTTGTGCTAATGCTAAGTTCTTAAATGCAGAGCAGACTGTCTTTGGTGTATCTACCTTTGACCTTGGAATAGCTTCTTTCGGTTCTATTCTGTTTTGCTTTGGGGCAACACCTGATTATGCTAAGGGCTTAGGGTTGTTGCTGCCTGGCTGTGTTCAAGGGACCATATATACCACCAGGAATCAAGTTAGGGTCAGCTGTATTCATTGCGGTGCATTAATCCCTATTTTATCTCTCTGGCACTTCTTTCTTGTGTCTCCACTCTTTTTTGGAACATTTCACTTTTTTCTGACACTGTAGAAAGTATTACATTTTATTTTGTTTTGTTTTATTGCCACAACTGGCTGTGCTCAGGGTTTATACCTGGCTAGCTCTGGTTTAAGAAGTGCTTATTTCTTTATTTGTTTATTTGAGATGCTAGAAAAATGTTACATTTTTTTTGTTGTTTTTTGGGGGGGTGGGGAGAAGCACAACTGACTGCTCAGTACTACAACTGACCGTTTCTGGGTATTACACCACAGTTCAAACCCAGGTCAGCAATTTTGCCTGCTGTAAGATCTCCAGCCCTTGAACCCTCATTCTTTTTTTTTTTTTTTTAATTTTAATGTAGGAGTATTGCTGTTTATTCAGCCACGGATTAGCTGATTGAATTGGGCGTGAACTCCACCTTACTTTTTTTTTTTCTTTTTATAAATTTATTTCTTGAATCACCGTAAGAGCAGTTACAAAGCTTTTGGGTTTAAGTCTCAGTCATACAATGATGAAGCACCCATCCCTTCACCAGTGCCCATTCTCCACCAACAAAAACCCCAATATACCACCCATCCCACACCCTCCCCCTACCTGTGGAGCAGACGATTTCCACATTACTCTCTCTCTACTTTGATTACATTCAATATTTCAACACCAGACTCACCATTATTATTTGGGATTTTACCCCGACACTCAGATCTGCCGAAAAGGCAACAGTAGACAATTTGTTTTCTATTGCTGGTTATGAATAACATGTGATTTTGGAATTTTGAATTTTTAACAATTATATCTGGAGGGATTTCTGCCAAAATCTGCTGGGCTCCAAGATTTGTTTCTGAGTCTCTTGGATTATGGCCATTAGGCAGCTTGATCAGAAGTCAGGCCATTCATGGGCAGCGACCCAGGGTCTCATTGGGGCAGGGAGGAAAGGACTGATTCCACACCCATTCCCTGAGGCCCTGGGTGTTTCATCACTGCAGGCCCAAACCTGACTGTCCAATGGCCTCTGGAGGATGGTGGCCACCGAGCCGCAAGGGGGAACAGGTGGGGGGACAGCACCCTTTCTCCACTGGGTGGCCCGGTACAGGTAACCTACTGCAGGGACCAGACACATTTGTGCCAAAAGCCACTGGGTTCCGAGATTTGTTCCTGAGTCTCTTGGATCATGGGCTTTAGGCAGCTTGATTAGGAGCCAGAGAGGCCGTTCATGGGTTGCAACTCGGGGTCTCGTTGGGGTGAGGAGGAAAGGGCCAGCTCCACCCTCATCCCATGAGGCCCCACATGTCTCGTCACTGTGGACCCAAACCTGACTGTCCAATGGCCTCTGGCGGATGATGGACATCGAGCCACCAAGGGGGAGCAGGTGGAGGGACAGCACCCTTTCCCCACTGGGGTGACTTGGTGCCGACAACCTACTGTGAGGACTGGACGCATTTCTGCCAAAAGCCACTGGGTTTCGAGATTTGTTTCTGAATCTCTGGGATTATGACCTTTAAGCAGTTTGATCAGGAACCAGAGAGCCCTTGTCTCCAATTATATAGCTGGAGGTGGTTTGTGGGTGTGTCTTCCACATACTTGATTTTTGGCTGCTTACTTTCTTGGTAAATTTGGTCCCAAGTTGTTGGGGTCTGGCCAAAGGCACAGCAACAATTTGGGGGTACCTGGAAATCTGAAGGCACCATCAGACTGCTGATGCCTTTGCCTCACAGGTACAGATTGACCTGCTGGTGGCACCATACCCCAGTGGGCCCTCATTCTTAATTTGACATATGCAGAATGACATGGCAAATCCATCGCGAGCCTGAAGAAGCTATGCATACTTCTATAGCAATTTTCTATGATTAGTTATAAACTCATAAAACAAAACTGTTAATGTGTTTGCTTTTAAATGTATAGTAAATTTTTCTATGTTTACATGTGTAACATTATTACTTCTTCATGGTACTTGCCATACTTCTACATATATCTCATACACTCATGCAAACCACCATCCACCCTTGAATTTTTGAAATGATTTCAAAAATTTCTAAATTCTATGAAAGCATAGAAAAGTTGTTTAGCTGTTAACAAGAAAGTACTTTAATTTTTGTTGAATCGCTGAGATACAGCAGTTACAAAGCTGTTTGTGATTGAGTTTCAGTCTTGGGTTCAGTTATATAATGTTTGAGCACCCAATACCTTCAGCAGTGTCCCCAGTTTCCCCCCAGCCTGTCTTAATAGCAGACACTTTTTCTCTTTTTTCCTTTTAGGCACTGTGGTTTTAAATACTGTTACTGAAGGAGCACATGGCTATCATTTTACCTCCTTTCAGTACCCAGTTATTGTACAGAGTGTTTATTTCCCACTGTCATTATCATAGTGGTCCCTTCAATGTCCTAACCACACTTCCTGCTTGTGGTAAGATTCCTATTAAGGACCAGTTCTCCAGGCCTTTTGGTACATGAGGGTATTTTAATGTAGAAAGCATACCCAGGGAGAAGGAATGAAGGGAACCTCTTCAAAAGACTTCTCCCAGTTGTGATTCATGAAAAATTCAAACTTGTAAATATTTCTTTTATTTCATGAAAATTGTTATTGTAGTACAATATTGAACCCGAGAGAGGGCTCAGTGAGTTGAGCACCTGCTTTGCCTGCCTGTAGACCTAGATTTTTTAAGTGTGATCATTTCCATTTCCTTTTATTACTATTATTTTTTAATTTAATTTTTATTAGTGACAAACCATGAGGTACAGTTGTAGACTTACAATTTTTTGTGCTTGGGTTTCAATTATTCAATGATTAAGTACCCATCCCTGCACCAGTGCCCATTTTCCACCAACAGGCATCCCAGTATCTCTTCCCACCCCCCATCCCCCCCCATTCCACCCTGCCTCTGTGGCAGGGCATTCCCTTTTGTTCTCTCCTTTTGGGTGCTGTGGTTTGCAAATGAGGCATTGAGTGGCAATCATGTTCCTTTACACCTAGATATGATCCCTCATACCACATAGTCCCCTAAACACCTCTGGTAGCAACCCCAAGCACAGAGTCAAGCACAGTGCCTTCAGCACTGCCAGTTGTGGCTGTAAAACAAAATTTAGTAGTTCAGTGTTTTCATTGACTTCCAAGCAAAAAAAAAAAATTTTTTTTTTTAAGATACTTATCGCATACTATGATTTCAAATCTTTTTGGTCTTGAAGTTAAGGAACTCATAAAATAAGGTTATAAAATTAGGAATGACTTTCAGTAGACTCATCCCTGCTATGTACCTGAAATCCTACATGCAATTGATTGTCTTGATAGATTGCTCTAAAAATTTATTCCTGGCAACTGGAGAGATAGTACAGGAATTAAGATGCTTTCCTTTCATGTAGCTAGGTTGCCCTAGGCACTTTATATGGTCTTCTACACTGCCAGTATTCATGTTTTTGTTTTTTGAGTCACACCCAGCAATGCACAGGGGTTACTCCTGGCTCTGCACTCAGAAATTACTCCTGGTGGTGCTCAGAGGACCATATGGGATGCTGGGAATCGACCACTGTGCTATTGCTCAGCCCCACAGAAATTTATTTTTTGACTGGGAGATAACTTAGTTTGTGTGAAGCCTTGAGTTCAGTCTCTGGATGTGACTTTTTAATAATACTTTTAAAAAAGTATTGGTTTTTGTGGTTATTTCACATGGGGGCCTCAGTGCTTTAAATCAATTTTGAATTAGAAGTGTCTGTTTTCTTAGTTGTGTCCTTATCATTTCTCATAAGATTAAATTAATTTTATATTGTCTTTTAGATGGCTTTAAACCCAGGAGGAGCATTGTCTTTGCCAGCTGGAGTGCTGGAGACTTGGGAGCTATAGGTGCCACTGAATGGCTAGAGGTACAGTCTTTATTAACCTGAACTTTTATTGGTGTGAGTCATCATCTAGAAACCATTATTTGTAGGTTTATATTCTTTGGCTTCTGTACATTTAGTCTAAAGAGAGTCCAGTTTAAAAAGAAATCCCTAACAATAACTACTCAATCTGATAGTACATACCAGTACATAGTAATTTTCCTTCTCTTCTAGGGATACCTTTCATCTTTGCATTTAAAGACTTTCACTTACATTAATCTGGATAAAGCTGTTCTTGGTAAGTACACTTAGCTGTATTTTTTATCAGATGTTTATGAATTTAGGTAAACTATAGGACAACAGAAGCTTTCTGAAGTAGTTTATAATTTACACTGGGCATATAATCAAGTTAAAAATTTGACTTGGCTTTCTCTGAAATGGTTCATTAAACTACAGATTTGGTACAGTTGACCTTATCTGTAGCACCAGATCTCAGCGTAATTCTTAGATTATCAGGATCATTTAGGAACTATTTGAAGCACAGATTTTTAGTTCCCACCTTAGATTTTGTGAGTTAAGAATTAGAGCACTCTGTCAGGTGCTGTGGGAGCCATCATGTGGAACTTGAACTGGATGCTGGTGGCATTTAGCTGAAACGTCTCAGCAGTTGCTTTCCGGATAGAAGACTACAGCCAGAAGGGTGGTGTGAGTTCAGAGCTAGGTTCCTTACCAGGCGGGGAGACGAGGAGCTGGAAAGTCTTTTGAGTTGTTATAACTAAGAAAACTCTAGACTTTCCTGTATGAGTACTCCAAGTTTAGAGGTAAGGTCAGAGGAGCTGCATTTTGTTTATATTACATTAAAATTTCATTTTTTGATATTTGTAATCTTTTAAAAATATATGTCCGTTGTAATTAAGGAAAAATTGGAAGCACTGATCAGTACAAACATTTTAAAAATAAGTGTTAAAGGTGATTCTGATACAGTAAAATTTGAGTGCTATTAGTACCACATTAGACCTGAACCTAAGCCATATCATATGGAATAGTATAACCAGAGACATAAATGTCCTATAAGACTGGTTGTAGAGAAATTTTGAAAAAACTTGAGGGCCTGGAGAAATAGTACAGAGCTTAAGGTGCTTGCCTTCACACAACCAACACAGGTTTTATCCCTTCACCACCCTCAAGTTCCCTTGAGCATGGTCAGGAGTGATCCCTGAGCACAGAGCCAGGAGTAAGCCCTGTGCATTGCCAGTAAAATTTACAGGTTTCAGGAGCAGGAGTTTCAGTTCAGTCAAATTAGAATTGGTATGGGCTGGAGAGATTTTATAAGGATTAGAGCATTTCCATGTATCCATCCCTGGTTTGATTCCCTCCCCTTCTCCCTCAAGCACTACCCAGTGTAACCAGAAAAATCTAAATTAGAGTTGTTAGTTATTAAGGAAACTGCCCTCTAAATCTCTTTTTTTTTGTTGTTTGGGGGGGGCCATAGCCATTGGTTCTCAGGAGCTCAGTGCTCAGCGCTCATTCCCAGTGATGCTTAGGGAACTTGGTAGTTTCAGGGATTGAACCTGGGCCTATTTGCTCCAGCACATTCAGCTATCTCTTTAGTACAAAGTTACTTATTTATTAGCCAATATAAGGAAATTCGAACCTGCGCGGGGAAACCCCAATGGATTTCTAGTCCATCGCCTTAACCACTCGGCCACAACTACATGGGCTGGAGCGATAGCACAGCGGGTAGGGCGTCTGCCTTGTACGCAGCCAACATGGCTGACCTGAGTTCGGTTCCTCCGCCCCTCTCGGAGAGCCTGGCAAGCTACCGAGAGTATTCGATATGCCAGACACAGTAACAACAAAGTCTCCAATGGAGACGTTACTGGGCCCGCTCGAGCAAGGAAATAGTTTTTTTACGACACTGATCTAGATCATTCTCTTTCTGCTTACCAAATGCTTTTAGATGTAGAAGTAGCAATATGAATAGTGTCTCTTCTGTAGTTAAGCAATGTTAACAATAATCTCTTTGCAGGTACCAAGAACCTCAAGGTTTCTGCCAGCCCATTATTGTATTCACTTATTGAGAAAACAATGAAAGATGTGAGTGTATTATAAAATAACTTTTTGTTTTTAAATCTAATTCACATAGGATGAAAAAACATTGGTATACAAATATTAATAGGTATAAAACCTATTTATAGTTGTATAATGGGTATACAAGAAATTTGGACTTTAGAGTAGAGTCTGTCACGGCACTATTCAGGTCCGGCTCTTGACTTACTTCACAGGTTATTGAACTGTGTCAAGGGAGGTAGTATGTGAAGAGCTTTGATCTCAGAAAATATGTAGTATATATAAAAATAGAGAGTGGAATTCCATGAGGTCTGAACTGTACTTAGTTGCCCGTGGGGGATTGTTTATAGAATCAGAATGTTAAGGAATGGAATGTATAAGTGAATTTGAACTATGCTTTAGACTTAAACAAGAAGGCTAGTAAAATATTAGTTGAATACAGCCAGACAAATGAATAACTGGTTTTGAATGAGGTTTGCCTAATGGGATTAGAGGTTGTTTATTGGAGTGATTAAAGTTGAAGGAGGGAAATGGATTCAAGAACTTGACTTTGGTCCCATGGGTAATAAGATTATTATAGGATCTCACCCAGGTAGTAATGTGTTTGCAGGTTAGGTTGACAATGGTATAAAATGTGTTAAAAAGGAGAAACCAAAAACTTGGTGAAAATATCATGATGATTAGAGAAAGCTTTTAAAATTACTGGGGGTAATGTGTAAACACAAAAAGACGGCAGTGGTCTATCTCTCCCGCTGCCCACATTTTGTAGTTTCAGGCCAGTTCCCCCACTCCAATGATGTCAATGGTGATGAGTAGGCGAAGGAAGGAAACGAGGGCCAGGCTGGTTGGTCTTAGTTGCAGTTTATTCCAATCCTCTCTCCATTCACTCCTGTCTCTCCTCTGCCTCTCCCAGCCTATTCTTACAGTCTCATTATATCCCACAAAAGAAATTTATGTCATCGAGGGCCCAGGTTCTTTCAGACCTGTGACCCCCAGGTTCTCTCAAGCCTTCCCCATTCCCTCAGCCTGTGTCCTCCAGATTTTCTCAGCCTGTGTCCCCGTTCTCTCAGAACTGTCTCTCAGATTCTCTCAGTCTGTCACCCCCTGTTGAGAGCCCTTAAATCTCCTTTTATTGATCATGGTACCTCTAAAGGGCAATGCAGTATGTCAAAAGGAGTTACAGAAAGAACATTGAGGCAGCAAAACATACATTGTTTCCTTGCATCTGCAGTCCAGTGATTTTGGCCTCTGGAAAGAAGATGCAAAACAAAGACTGAAACCTTTCTTGGGCTACAAGCACTTGGATTTGCATCCCAAAGACTAGTCTGCTAGAGCCTAGAACCTACATCCCGAAGATCAGGCCTGGCTAGCACCTGAGATGTGCATGTCAAAGACCAGCCAGGTTTCTGTGTGAAAGAAAACTGCCTCTTATACCTGAAATTATTTACTGAAGGCAGTTTGAAAGGGGAGAAATGTTCAGCCTCATCCAGACTAGTCAGGACACACGGGAAAGCCACTTCTACGACAGATTCTCATTTAGCAGATCAACCCACCCTAGAATGGAATCCCCTACGTGTTTCTCCTCTCCTTGTCTAACAAACGTATAAGAAGAGGAGAAAGGCAATATTAATTTACAATACATTTCAGTGTCCTAGAAGGATCTGACCTTACAAATTAGCAGATTTTGACTAGGGGAAAGGCTGATTAATTGGTTGGGGTGGAGAGCATAGAAGTGGTTACAGATAAAGGAATGGGAGAGACTCGGGAGCATTGTGATGGGTATAACCTGATAAACCTAAGCTCCTTGTGGCAAGGGAGGAAAGAGATCAATTGTTATCCTATAGGGTAAGATATCATAAAATGTAAATTAAAAAAGGAAAACTTGTCTTCCTCACCATAATTCAAACTAACGATATGGATCTAGTAGAAATAACTTATTATTGTTTAATTTTTTTTCCGGAAAGTGCAATAAAAAGCTGATTTTTATAATTGTTTATAAGGAAAAATAAGTGGTTATTTAACTGTTCAAAAAGGTTTGGTTAAATGATAAACTAATTTTTTATTTTATAGGTAAAAAATCCAACTACTGGATTGTCTCTATATCAGGATAGCAATTGGATCAACAAAGTGTAAGTTGAGACACATGATGAGTAAGCTAATAAAAGGCAGAAACACCCATTAGCACCTGTTGCTAAGTGAGATCTAAATTACCTTGCAGTGAATTACTTTATTTTGGGGTGGGGGGGGGGGGTGTCACACCCAGCAGTGCTCAGGCTCTGGCTCTGCACTCAGGAATTACTCCTGACCATGCTCAGGGGACCATATGGGATGCCAGGGATTGAACCCAGGTCAGCCACATGCAAAGCAAATGCCCTACTCGTTGTACTATTGCTCCGGCCCCAGTGAATTACTTTTATCTATAGCACTGTAGCACTGTCATCCCATTTTGCTCAAGCGGGCACTAGTAATGTCTCACAACAAATTGTGTTTTTGGCATATCAAATTACTGTTTTTGGCATATCAAATACATCACAGGTAGCTTGTCAGGCTTTGCCATGTGGGCTAGATACTCTCAATAGTTTGCCGGGCTCTCCTAGAGGGGTGGAGGAATTGAACCCGGGTTGGCCGCATGCAAGGCAGACACCCTACCCACTGTGCTATCGCTCCAGCCCAAATATGTGGCAGTGTCTGGAAATAGTTTTTGGTTGTCACAACTGGTGGGGGAAGAGGGAAGTATCGACATCTGAAGTGTCCTGTACTTTTATCTAGAAAAGTTAAACTGAATTTTGGGGATTCAAGGATTTAGCTTAGCAGAGCACTTGCCTTGCAGGCATGAGTTCTCCTATTTAATTTCCAGCACCCCAACCCACACTTGCCATTTGTAATCCCGTTGCCACATCAAGTCAAGCACCCCAGTCCAGTCAGTGCATGTGTTGCCCCCAGTTATCACAACAAAACGGAAGAGAGAAGGGAAGAGAATTTTATTGAGGGTAAGGCTGCATGGTGTCACATTCTGTTCTTTTAATAACTTTCTAAAAGCACATTCTTGCTTTTCTTGCAGTGAGAAATTTTCTTTGGATAATGCTGCTTTCCCTTTCATTGCATATTCTGGAATCCCTGCAATTTCATTCTATTTTTGTGACGTAAGTATGAAGAGTTCTTAAAGGATAAGAATGTCAATTTTGGGGGCTGGAGCAATAGCACAGCAAGTAGGGTGTTTGCCTTGCACACAGCCAACCAGGGTTTGATTCCCATATGTTCCCCCAAGCACCGGCAAGAGTGATTTCTGAGTGCAGAAACAGGAGTAACCCCTGAGTATCGCTGGATGTGACTCAAAGAGCAAAATATACTACATATATATATATATATCAATTTTGACACCAAGTTTTCTTGACTGTTATAAAATGTTTCAAGAAGAGAAATAATACAGGCACTTGTCTTGCACATGGCCAACCATAGTTTGATTCCCAGCACCACATATGATCCCATGAGCACAGCCAGAAGTGTTCCTTCATCACATAGCCAGGAGTAAGCCCTGAGCATGGCTTGTGTGGACTCAAAACCAAAATACTTTACGAAATTAAGACATTTTGTACATAATGCAGTTACTGCATGTTCTCTTTTCTTTGGAGGGTTGGAGGGCAGGATTTTGTCGTGAATCCAAGTAGACTGTGTTTAAGGCAATGTCTTAAACCCATTGTACTGTGTCTCTGCTCTCCCATCTTTCTAATCAGTCTTAACAATTTTTTCAGTTGGCTTAATTAGCATACAATTACTATTTTGGTTTGGGCTACATGTGGTATTCAGGGCTTCTTCTGGTTCTGTTCTCAGTGGTTACTCCTGACAGGGCTTGGAATTATATGGGGTGCCCAGGATTTAAACCATGTGGACTTCATACAAGGCAAACACCCTGCCCCACTGTCCTATCCAGTCCCAGCATTTTGTTAAAACTTTTCAGTTATTAAATGATAATACTACCTACTTAAAATGGTGGAGGTTTGAGTGGACAGTGTGGTTCTCAGTACCTATTGGAATATATTAATTTTTACTTGAGATACTGGTATTGGACTAGAGAAAGTGTACAACAGGTAGAGCGCTGGCTTTACACACAACCAACCCAGATTAGGCCCCCAGCATTCCACATGGTTCTCTTTGCGCTGCCAGGAGTAATTCCTGTGTGCAGCGCTAAAAGTAACCCTTGAGCATTGCCAGATGTAGCCTCAAACAAAAAAGTCTCTTAAGCAGGTACTATATGGTTAAAAGCAGAAAAGATTATCATGAAACAATTAATGGATTGACCAGTTTGTAGGAAAACAAAGTTGGCTTGGCCTATAAGAAGGCACTGAAAGTGAGACAAAATCAACAGAGTAACTGTCTTCTGTTCTAAAGCACTGTGGTGGAAAACCTAGCCCTGCCACTGATAGATACTACTGAAGAGACCCAAGAGTTAGTATAGGGAGTCTATGCCATTAGTACAGGGAGGGAAACCTGTTAACTTTGGCATCAAGTTACTGATCCATTAGATGGTTAGGTCCTTACTGAGCTCACTGTGGTTGTCAGCTTGCAATGAGGAGGGGTAAAGTATGAAGTGATAAAATATTTGGATTGGGGATAACTGTGTCTGGAATTCCCTGGACTACCTTTAGAGCAGCAGTATAAATTGTGCAAAACGGCTGATAATGATACCTATTGAGTTCCTAAGAAAGAATTGAATGTGTTGCCTGCCGATGGTTGAAGGAATTCATTAATGATTTTTGTTAAACCTTCGGACAGCATTTTTTAAAAAGCAGGAAAAACAAATGTTCAGCTGTCAAAAACCTAATGGTTCTGGAGCCAAAGCAGTAGTACAGTGGGTAGGGCTTTTTCCTTGTATATGGCCAACCCAGGTACCACATCTCTGGTGCCCTCTATGGTTTCCCAAGAACTACCAGGAGTGATCCTTGAGCAGAGAAGTAGAAGTAAGCCCTGAGCACCACCAGGTATGGCCCCAAAAAAAGCAAAAAACAAAACCCTAGTCATTCTGTTCAGAAATATAGATCAAATAGAATTGTATAATCTGAAAATAAGAATTAAAATAAGACCAAAGGATTGTTAGTGAGATTGTCAACAACGACACCAGTAGATAAAAGAGTTAAACAAATAGTTGCTAACATTATCTAATGAAGGTAGAAAATCTTATGAGCAATTAAACATTCTTGTTAGAAGTAGCATGATTGAATGGACTAAGTGCTACATAATAAGACAAAGAAAATTTCAGTCTGAGAGCAACACGTTAATTTGAGACTACATTTTATGTGCGTTCTCTCCTCTTATTAATATGGGCCAAAATCTCAAGAGGTCAAGGATATAAACTCAAGGAATTTGCCTGGAAATCTGGTCAGGGTATATATTCTAGAAAAGGGACTCTTTGAAACCTAAACAAAAGTAGACATTCTAGCAGTATGTTAGATTCCGTGGAAGTTGCAAAGTTGGTGTCATCTGATAGTACTGGATATGAGATAAAATTGTAGTATGGATGAATTTATTAGAAACAAAGGAAGAGTTGTAGTTACTATTACCTTTATAGTGAAACTGGATATGAGACTCTGACTCCTATTCCTCCTAATGACATTAACCTTGTTCTTTTTTCTAGGACGAAGTTTATCCTTACTTGGGTACTACTATGGATACTTATGATGCACTAAAGCAGAGAATTCCTGAGTTGAACAAAATGATACGTGCAGCAGCAGAAGTGGCTGGTCAGCTTTTAATTAAACTAACTCATGATGCTGAATTGAACCTGAACTATGAGATGTATAATGACAAAATACTTTCATTTGTGAGGGATATGAATCAATTTAGAGCAGCTATAAAGGTAAGATTAAGTAAATTTGCATTATTGCCAAAGTGTTGGAGCGATAGCACAGCGGGTAGGGCGTTCGCCTTACAAGCGGCCAACATGGCCGACCCGAGTTCGATTCCTCCACCCCTCTCGGAGAGCCCGGCAAGCTACTGAGAGTATTCGATATGCCAGACACAGTAACAACAAAGTCTCCAATGGAGACGTTACTGGGCCCGCTCGAGCAAATCGACGATCAACGGGAGGGCCTTTACCTTTACCTTTACCTTATTGCCAAAGTGTTAGGTGTTCTAGGAATCTAGGATAGACACTGCAAATATATGACAGATAATTTCCAACTGGTTTTATAGATTAGAAGTTAGCAGATAGATCCTTTAAATCTGGAGTCATTAGTAACTGAATCTTTTTTTTTATGACTTTTTCTTAAAAGTGGAATTGTAGGGCAGAGGTGTGCAGTGGTGCAGTGGGTATGGTGCTTGCCTTGCACTCACTAGAGTGACATAACTAGATTTTAAAGTTTGTTGAGACCTAGAAATGTGACTCGGGTAACAAGCACACATGCCTTGCATATGAGAGAATCTGTCTTCAATCCCTCGCACCACAGAAAGAATAAATTTTTTGAACCAAAATGTGGAGCATTTCCTCCATTGGGAAACTGAACTGAAAACAATAAACTACACAAAACTGTTTACTTTTATTAAGTCACTGACACTTTCTTCCCATTGTTGTTCATCGATTTGAGCAGGCCCAGTAACATTGTGAGACTTATTACTGTGTTTGACATATTATTAAGCAAGTAACATTATCTTTCTTGATGAGGATTTTTTTCTTACGAAGTTAAAAATTTAAACTGTCTAATGCAGACCACCCCAGTTTGATCCAGCACTGCCAGCCCCCTAAACGCCAGGAGTAGGCCCTGAGCATAGCCAGATGTGACTTCAGAATAAAAAAGATACATATCTATCTATCTATATGTGTACACACACACACACACACACACACACACACACACACGGAGCGCACTACTATCTGCCGGTTTGAATGTGAGTTGTTACATTGTAACTTGTTTAATTTTTGTGTGTGTGTGTGTGTGTGTATGTGTGAGGTTTTCCCTTCCTCCCTTTCAGTCAATTTTATAGTCCTCAAAACCTCCCTTTACCTTTCTACTCCCACTCCCCAAAATCCCATTTATTAGGAAAACTTGATACCCAACGTTAGGTGCCTTTGGGATGCACTGAAGGCTGAGGCGGGATCTTGCCTTAAGAGTCCTCTTTTTTCCCTGCCTTGTAGGATTTGTCTCTGACATCTTAAGGATCTGCTATTTACTAGAACTGTGTGTCTATGTGTCCTTATGCGGAATATTCTCCCTTGGTTCCCCGGACCGTAGACTATTTAAACCTGGAAATGAGAATGGCACTAATCGCATGCCTGAACACCCATCTCTCGTCACTGTCTGCTGTAGAGTGCTCCTTGCCCCTTTATCCCTTCTCCCTCCCTTGTTGACTCTATTTTTTATTTTAGTCACCTTCTATTAGAGTACTGTTAAAGATAGATTTTCTTGCATAACCTACACTGTCCCCTAGAGTCACAGCTTCCATCTATCTTGTCAGGGTTGTCCCCTCATCCCCACCCTCCCACCAAGACTGCTTCCCCTGCCATCTCCCTGCCAAGTAAGCTTGGTTCTGTAGATCAGTTCTCAAGTTCTGTTGCCTTTGAAAATTTGTTTTTTCCTTCTTGTGCTTCTTTATATCCCACATATGAAAGATCATTCTGTACCTGTCCCTTTCTTTCTGACTGATTTTACTCAGTGTGATACCTACCTTACAGTTACATGCACATCACAGCAAAGAGCGGGATTTTGTCTTTGGTTATAGCTGAGTAGTATTCCATTGGTATTGTACCGGTTTCTTTATCTGGTCATCTATCCCTAGTCATTTAGTCTGTTTCCAGATTTGGCAACTGTGAATAGTATAATAATAAACATAGGAGCAGAAATGTCTACTAGAGAATTTTGGGGTCCTGGAAGTATATGCTTAGAGGTGAAATTGCTGGGTTAGAGGGAAGCTCAATTCTTAATTTTTTGAGAAATGTTCCTATTGTTTTCCCAAAAATGTTAAAGCATTCAACAGTTACCACCCACAATGAATGAGGGTTCCTTTCCCCCCACATCCTGGCCAACACTGGTTGTATTGGAGTTTTTTGATGTGTGCCAGACTCGTGGATATGAAGTGATATCTTAATGTTTTAATCTGTATTTCCCTGATGATGAATTATGCAGAATATTTTTCTTATACTTTTTGGCCATTTGTATATCTTCTTTGAAGATATCTCTGTTCGTGTCTTCCCATTTTTTGATGAATTTTTTCTCCTTAAGCTTTACAAGTGCTTTGTAAGGTAAAAGGTAAAGGCCCTCCCGTTGATCGTCGATTTGCTCGAGCGGGCCCAGTAACGTCTCCATTGGAGACTTTGTTGTTACTGTGTCTGGCATATCGAATACTCTCGGTAGCTTGCCGGGCTCTCCGAGAGGGGCGGAGGAATCGAACTTGGGTCGGCCATGTTGGCCGCTTGTAAGGCGAACGCCCTACCCGCTGTGCTAGAACTCTTTTGTCAGATACGTGATGGGCAAATATTTTCTCCCAGTCTATGGGGTGTCTTTTTTCTGGTCATCGTTTCTTTTATTGTACAATAGCTTCTTAATTTGATACAGTTGCATTTGTTTATCTTTTTGCTTCTGTTTGCTTGGTCATTGAATCTATAGTTCTCGATCGAGTAATCAGTCTGGGTTGCAGAGATAAGCAAGGCATGTGGAATGTTGAAGCACAGAGGACCAAAGCTCACTCAGCCATTTGGCACTGATCGGCTTTTGCAGCCTCCCCTATTGGGTTAACGATCAAAACATCTAGCATACTTCAGAGTACATAAGATCAAGACACCTTAAAGTACATATTATCTTGTAGCCTAATAGTGCACAATGTTCCTGATGAAGCAAATCAGACCACCTTATAAATCTTTGCATCCCACTTCCCATACATTCCACATCAAAATCTATGCAAGCTTACACAATAGCCCAGTAAGGTATTTAACTGTCATCCAAGCATAGTATAATCTATAACAAAGAGCTGCTGCATTGGGACATGCTGACCCCAACCCAGTTCACTCAGAGTTCCTAGCTGTTTGCAGGTATGACATGGCGTCCCCGGAACTTCCTCTTGACTCTGGTCAGGCTTCATTGAATCATTGAAGATGGCTCCAGATTTGATGTCACGAAGGGTTCCCCCTATGTTTGCCTCAATATAGTTTATGGATCCAGGTCTGATAGAGGGTTTTTTGTTTTGTTTTGTTTTGAGGCCATACTTGGCAATGCCTAGGAATTACTCCTGGTGGTGCTCGGGGACTACAGGAGATGCTGGGAATCAAACTCAGGTCGCTTGCTGTCATTACGCTTTACTTATCACTCTGGACCCCAGATATTGAGATCTTTAATCTGTTTTCAGTTGACTTTTGTGCTGAGTAAAACGTAGGGATCTGAGTTCATTTTTTAAACATGTGACTGACCAACATCATTTGCTGAATTGTTGGAATTAACAGTCCTTGCTCCTTTGCTAAAGATCAGCTGACTGTATACCTGAGAGTCTTGTCTCTGGGCTCTCAGTTCTCTTCCATTGATCTGAAATTCAGTCATTATTCCAGTACCACACTGTATGGTTACTGTAGATTTACAGAATATTTTAAAATTGGGAAAAGGAAAGCTTCCCATCTTCTTTCTTAAGATTGCTTTGTTGGGAGTTAGGAGGGTTATTATTACTTCGTATAAATTGTAGCAGTATTTGGTCTCTGTCTTTCAAGATGTCATGGGTATTTTTTATAGGAATTACATTGAATTTGTATCTTGCTTTAAGAAGGATTATTACTTTGATAAATCATCCCTTTTGTTAAGCTGATTTCCAGGTACTTGATTTTTTAAAAAAATTTTTAGACACAATGGTGAATGGATTGTTTGTTTAATTTCTTTCTTCTGTTTTCATTGTTTGCTTATTTTAAGTAACTGAACTTGGAACCTTTTGTACAAAGTGCTTAAGTGTGGTTTTCTCTGAATCCTGAATTTGGCAGTGTTACTTCCTTTATCAAATTAATTTTAGTTGCAATTTTCTATCTAAAAAATTATACAGAGGGCAAGAGAAATAGCTCATATCTCTAGGATTTGATCCGTGGCATTGCGTGAATGGTTCCACCCAAATTAGAATTTCAAGCAATGCTAGCTGTGGCCCAAAAAAGAAACAACAGAAAGGCTTATAGAATAACATCCTTAAAAACCTTATTTCTAATCATGAATTTAATGTCTTTCTGCTTCAGGAGATGGGTTTGAATCTACAGTGGCTGTATTCTGCTCGCGGAGACTTTGTCCGTGCTACTTCCAGACTAACAACAGATTTTAAAAATGCTGAGAAAGCAAACAAATTTGTCATGAGGGCAATCAATGACCGAATCATGAAGGTAAATAAACTTAGAAAGGTATTTTGAGTTTTAATTGGTAAACTTGCACTTCTAAAAAGTAGAGTAATAATTCTGGAAGCCTAAAATTTGTAGTTTCTTTAGAAACATTAAGCACAGATTTTAATTCTTATAAAACAAACATCAAAATAGACAATAGGAAAGCATGCAACCGGAGTTTTGGGGTGAGTTGTGTTTTTTGTTTTTGTTTTTTGGGTTTGTTTGTTTGTTTGTTTGTTTGTTTGTTTGTGAGCCACTCCCAGCAATGCTCAGGGATTACTCCTGGATCTGTGCTCAGAGGTTACTCCTTGTGGTGCTGGAGCACCGTGGTGCTAGGGATGGACAGAGCTTCTGCCCATTGAGCTATCTCTTCGGCCCCCTGAGTTAGTTTTTCTTTTAAGACTTTGAAAACATTTTAAAGTAGAGATCATAAATGGTTTTACTCTTCCCCCCCCGCCTTTATATTTCTGTTATGCAGACTTCAACTGCTTTAATACTGTGGTAACTTTAAATCTTTCATATTCATCCCCCAATAAAAAAACAACCGTACATAATTAAGAGTTATAAAGGTGTTGACACAGTGGTGGAGTAAAGCAGACACTCTAGTGGAGGGTGTGGTTTTGGAACTTTGTATTCATGAAACCCTCTGGAGAACAATACTGTATATTATAGTGCCTAATGCGCAAATACACACATATTTCCAAAGATAAATAAAGGTTCAGTTTGCCTTGGAATTTTTTTTTTTTGAATTATTGAATCACCGTGAATTACCAAGTGATTCGTGATTGAGTTTCAGGTATACAGTGTTCCAACACCAGTGCCTTCACCAGTGTCCCCAGTTACCCACCCACCCCACAGCTTGCCTCTATGGTAGGTACTTTATACCTCCTTTCATCATTTCATTCACCTCAGCCCTGCCTTTTAGCTTTAAAGCTAAAGAATTGTAGACTTGAGATCAGAGCAGTGGTACAGCAGGTAGGGTGCTTGGCTTGCATGGGGCCAACCAGGGTCTGGCTCCTGCCACTCTGTATCATTCACTAAGCCCACCAGGAGTGATCTCTGATGACAGAGCCAGGAGCAAGCCCTGAGCACAACCATGTGTGGCCCTCCCCTCCTCCTCCCTCCCGCCTCCTCCTTCCATTCCCCCCCAAAGAGTAGCCCAGGGGTGTGACTCAGTGGTCAAGTACAAGTCTTACTTGGGCCAAGCCCCTCATTTTCCCCCTTTGCTACATGTGACATCTCCTTCCCTCCCTCACTCCCTCTCTCTATTCTTTCCTTCCTTCCTGTTTTGTTGTTACTGTTTTTGGTATGTGACTGGGGGGTAGAGGGGTGGTAGGTGATGCTCTGGGGTTCCTTCTGTTTCCACACTCAGGAAACCATATGGGAGGCTGGTAATTGAACCCTGGTTGTGTGTGTGTGTAAGGGAAGTGCTTTAACTGCTGTATTATCTCTCCAGCCCCAACTTTGTTAGGGAGTATGAAGGACACGGGAAGATTTTAGTATTTGAAATGAAAAAATGATCATTGTGCTATATCAGGCATTTTTCCTACAACATTAAGTTCTAGCACCGTAAAACCTATCTTGTATGATTTGGTCCTATAGGTGGAATATAACTTCCTGTCACCCTTTGTATCTCCAAGAGAATCTCCTTTTCGACACATCTTCTGGGGCTCCGGTTCTCACACTCTGTCGGCTTTACTGGAGAACTTCAAGCTGCGTCAAATAAATGGTGCTTTTAATGACACGCTGTTGAAAGAACAGTTGGCTCTAGCAACTTGGACTATTCAGGGTGCTGCAAATGCCCTCTCGGGTGACATTTGGGACATTGATAATGAGTTGTAATTGTGAAACCTTTAACATGTAACTTCAGAGTAGTGTGGTTTTTAGTCTTGGGCTGGTTGTAGGGCTACAAAACCTAATGTTGTTAAAACTCTACCCAAACATCTTGGTACTACTAGATATCCTTAGACAGCAGCTTTTAATACTGGGTAGGTACCTGCACTTCAAGTTAAAGTGAATAACCACTAAAAAATTGTTCGTGATAGAATATTTTTCTCTGATTATCTTCAGGATTTTAAGTGCTTTGTAATGGTAACTGCCTCTTTCCTGTTATGAAAAAGTTATGAAAAAGTCAGACCAACTATGTGAACTGTTACTCTAAATCCTGAAAACCTGAATTATATCTTTTGAGGTGGAGGAGGAAGATGGTGTCTTTGTTAAGATTGAAAGTAGTAGCTTAGTATGATCCTCCATCTTCACTTGATGCTAGATAGAAGGTACTGGATTGTAATACCTTATTGCCTTTCTTTAAGGATTTAGTTGGTTTTTACAACCCTGAATGAAACAGTTAACTTTCAGAAGAGATGGAAGTTGTTTCCTTGCCAATGAGGTCTGAAGTAGAGGTTCTTCAATGAGGTTCAACAGTTTTATCACAGGAGTAAGGCCTTAATGTGTTAACCTCAAGTGTTTTTGAAAAGAGGAGACCAGAAGCCAAAGACAATGTATTTTATTTCCCTCTGTTCCCTACCCCATAGGCTTTTAAGTTTTTTGTTGTTTCTATTTTTTCCAAAATACTTTAAAAGCGAATCCGTCTTAGGTGTTAAACTCAGTTTGTCAGACTTTAAAGAAAACACTGCCAAATTTTGGCCAAAGTGTTACTGTTTTTTGAAAAGCTTTCTATCATTTTGGCACTGAGATATTTATTGTTTATTTATCAGTGACAGAGTTCACTATAAATGGTGTTTTTTTTATAGAAGATAATTATCGGAAGCAGTGCCTTCCATAATTATGACAGTTATACTGTCGTTTTTTTTTTTTTTTTTAAATAAAAGCAGCATCTGCTAATAAAACCCAACAGATACTGGAAGTTTTGCATTTATGGTCAACATTTGAGAGTTTTAGAAAATGGCTACAAGCCAAATAAATTATACAGGTAAGTATTGGAGAAGAAATAAATTTAACAGTTTCCTAATTAAGCTATATTTCTCCTTAGCCAACCAGATAAAAATACACTTCTCCTAAATACAATGAATTTTAACCAAGTAAAAAAATTGATGTCACTTTAAGAGTGACAATACACATGTGTGCAAAGTTCTACAGCTCAGTTTATCTAAGGTATAGCTAATTCAAATTTTGCAAAATTTCCAGTACCTTTGTCACAAACCGAACTCACATTATCGGGAGCAGTGTCTTCCATAATGTATAAAGAACAAGGTAGTTTTTGCCTACCACAGTGTCTATATCGGAGACAGTGATCTCCATATGTTACACTAAGGGTGTACATAATTATCGGGAACAGTGTTTCCCATAATTTTCTTCATGCAATGACAACTTCTTCAAAGCTTGAAGATCGTTAGTATCTAACATGTTTCCCAGCTCACTATAATTCTCTATCTAGTTTTAGTTGCAGAAACATTTTGTGGTCATTAAAATTCTACCACTGTAAAATAAAATTGCTTACTTTAAGATTTTTTGTTTTTAAACCTAACGTGAGTATATTGTTGTATTTGTGGTTTCTCAGGCCTTCTGTTTAGCAGGAAAGTAGCATACATTTATAATGTTTGCTGTTGACAAATGAATTGAATTTTTCCCCTCATTTGCATGTTATTCTAGAAATTTAGCTTATGCAAGTTTGAACCCAGAATTGACTTTTTGGCTTAAAGCAAGGAAAATTTTTATAGGTGGTTTTGGGGGGTAGGGTGGAGAATTTTGTGGGGAGGCAAAGCTTGCAAAAGGATCTTTGATCATATCTACGTATCCATTAGTTCTGGTCAAACTACATGTGGTCTGCGGGTAATTGAGTAAGGGCCTTATTTTCTAGTAACCGGCTATTCAAAGACAGTTTGATACTACCATCTAGGAAACAGCCCATAGGGTATCTTAAGGTTCTAAAATTTAGCATGTCTTACCACAGTTAAAATAGATAATTACAGCCTCATGAGTTTTCAACTACTCAGTCTATTTTAGTCTTTTTTTTCTCCCCCCTCCCCCCCAGGGGAAGGGGAGTGCCAGGGAGTGAACCCAGGGCCTATCTGTGTGAAGCATGAGCTCCACCTCAGAACTGCATCCCCGGCCCCTCAGTCAGTGTTTTCTCTAGACTTGATATCTAGCATGGCTCAGTGAAAAGGTCAATCGGGTGATGTATAGTGTAGCTGGGATTCCTGGTTTGTGTTAATATGCTTCATCTTAATGAAAGCTCAGTGACTTCAGTGAAAGCATAGTAATGACTAATGGGCATATACATTCTTACAGCAGTTTATAGCGTCAAATAAAAACCTTCTTTGTGTAAGACTGGATTATTTCTACTGAAACAAGCCGGTAAATGATAAGAGGCTTTATATTTCTGAGTGAAATATATGTCTGACTACTGACTGCATACTAGTGTTCATATTTTTCTGGATAGTTGATACCATGTGTATTTTGAAGGTGAAAGGGTACAATGAGTGAGTTCTGTCATGATTCACAACTCCAGGACTTGCATGGCTTTTTTTTTTTTTTTTTTTTTTTGTATTTTCTCTTAGAATGTCCTTGCAAATTTTTGGCTGAAGGTGATTTGTTAGGCTTGCCAATCTTGTTAGGCTTGCTCAGCTATTATCTTTGTTAACAAATAATATGGTATGCCCTTATAAATCATATACAAGCCAGTATGTGCACAATGTGGCAATTCCAAACTGATTTAATAAAATGCTTCAACACTGAGTTGTCAGTTTTTGGAGGGGTGGGGATTGTGGTGGTTTGGGATTTGGGGGGCCCACACCCGGCAGTGCTCAGGGGCTATTCTTGGCTCTACTCAGGAATGGCTCATAGTGGTGCACAGTGACAATATGTGGTGCCAGGAATCTGAACCAGACTTGCAGTTGCCACAGCCACATACAAGGTAAGCACCTTACCCCATTCCATTTCTCCAGCTGCACAGTTGTATTTGTTTTGTTGTGAGGCCACACGCATCTGTGCTCAAGGCTTATTCCTGGCTCTACTCAGGGATCAGGCCTTGCCAGTTTCAGGGGACCATATAAGGTGGATCGAACCTGGATCGAACCCAGGTGGGCCATATGCAAGACAAACGCTGTATCCAGTGTATTATCACTCCAGCCCCAAATAGACTTTTTTAAAAAGAAGTCTTAGTTAATGATAAAATTGAAGAGAACATAAAAAGTGTTCTGCAACCACCCTTTAGCTTCTCCCAGTAAGTTGATGAATGTGCATTGACTTATTCACACCCAAAATTCTAGTTTATATAAGATTTGCTTTTAGTATTGTGCATTCTGTGAATTTGGACAAATGTATAATGAATACATATCTATCCATTACGGTGTGATACAATTTTTACGGGCTGGAGCAATAGCACAGCGGTAGGGCATTTGCCTTGCACACAGCCAACATGGCTGACCCAAGTTCGATTCCTCCACCCCTCTCGGAGAGCCCGACAAGCTTCCGAGAGTATCTCACCTGCACGGAAAAGCCTGGCAAGCTACCCGTGATGTATTTGATATGCCAAACACAGTAACAACAAAGTCTCCAAGTCTCCAATGGAGACATTACTGGGCCTGCTCAAGAAAAATCGAACAACGGGAGGACAATGACAGTGACAATTTTTACTGCCCTTAAAATGCTCTGTGCCTTGCTACTTTTGCTCTCTCCCCAACCTTTGGTATCCACTAATCTTTCTCCTGGCATCTTATGTTTGAGTTTTCTAGGATATCATAGAATCATTTAGTATTATATTTTCAGATTCACTTCTTAGTAATACACATTTAAGATTTCTACCTTTTCATGGTTTCGTCTTTCTCTTATAGTGCTGAATAAATACTCCATTGTATGTAAGTTAATTTGACTTTCTGAAAGATGGTTCAAGTTTTGGATTTGAGACGGGTAGGGTGTTTGCCTTGCATGCAACTGACCGGATTCCTTCCCAGGCATCCCATGTGGTCCCCCAAGCAACGCCAGGGGAAAACCCTTATCATTGCCAGGTGTGATGCAAAAAGCCAAAAAAATACTTGTTTTGGATATTGACTGTTGGGTAACATTGCTTTGTCCTTCTACAAGAAGCTTAGGTTTATCTGGTTACACCCATCAATCTGGTTACACCCATCACAATGCTCCTGAAGCACTTCCACTTCCATTGTGTTTATCTGTAAACAGTCTTCCCTATGCTCTCCTTCCCACCCAGTTAATCCGCTTTCCCCTTAATCAGACTTTGTTAATTTGTAAGATCAGTTTCCCAGAAATCTATGATTTTATATGTATGAGTGAAATATTGCGTTTCTCCTCTCCTTATGCCTTATGAACATTTTACCTTAAAGTAATATCCTTTTTGTATAGATACAGGAAGACCGTTAACATTATGCTTTGTAATTTAGGATTTGATTGGCCTTGAATATTATTCACTCCCGGGCATCTACTTTCTCGACTTAAGCCTCAGTTGCCCTTAGTTCCTAACACCCCAAAAGCAGGGTCCCGACGAGGGACTGAATGGACCCAGGGCAAGCAGTGAGCTACCCTGGCAGCGGAATGGGCCAGGCCAAAGTGCCACAATTCTTAACTATAAGTTAAGAGTTTGATCGTAGACAAATGCTGTCATGATCCAAAGGATAGGATCCTGCTAGGGGTGGGAAAGACTATCTGGCCTGAGCACCGTAATCTGAGATCGAGATGACCCTAGGAGAGCAATTCTATAAGTTTAAGATATTTCTTACTGTATCCATACAAAATGATTTATATTCTTGTATGCTTGTCGGACAAGGAGAGGAGAGGCACACCCATGGGATTATGCTCTAGGGTGGGTCCTCCTGCTGAGGAAGGATCTGTCCTAGGAGCGGCCTTCCCTGAGGCTAAGATTTCTACCCCTATTGATTGTGATCGCACCTATGTGTAATTGTTTCCCCAATTCCTCTTGGAGAGAGATATAATGAGACTGTAGATTGGGCATGGGGGAGCAGAGACAGATGAAGAGAGAATCAGAATAAACTACGACCAATACCTACCAGCCTGGCCCTCGTTCCTTCCTCTGCCTGACCATCGCCATCGACCTCTCTGGGGTGGGAGAAGGGTGAGACTACCGAACGTGGGCAGCAGGAGAGATAGAGCTACAGCCGCCGCTGTGTGTGCTGCACCCCTTTTGTGTGAGTTTACACAATTGACCAGTCTAATAGGTGAGGTATTTCCTTCCTACCTTTCCTTCCTTTCTCCTTTTTTACAAGTATCTTTCCTCCCTCCCAAGTTGTGCCTGGTGTGCATTGTGTACTCCTGGAAGTACTTGGTACTGTATGGTGTTGTCAATCAAATCCAGGCATCCCCCATGCAAAATGTGCTCACTTCATTGAGCTCTCTTCCCCAGCCCCATAATACAGTATTTCCCTAATGACATGAATTTAATCATATTCTCTAAGCTTTACAGCTGATCCTCAGGATGTGCTTTTATTCCATGTTACTTCGTTACTGTTGAAGAGGCATTCTCTACTTCTATTCGCCTGCATCTCACTGTGAAATGTGTCCTTTCGGCTCTTTCCCCTGGAGCAGCCACATTGTCTCAAGCATGTAACTCTCCCTTGTTTGATTTTTCTTGTGCGGGTCACACCCAGCAATGCTCAGGGGTTACTCCTGGCTCTACACTCAGAAATTACTCCTGGCAGTGCTCGGGGGACCATATGGGATGCTGGGGGTTGAACCCGGATTGGCCACATGCAAGGCAAACGCCCTACCTGCTGTGCTATCTCTCTGGTTCCTCAGGGACTTGGTTTTTAAGTTTCGGTTTTTCAGAATCTATTGACAATGTTAAGTGCATGTCTTGAAATTTACAGTGTAGCTTTGGTATAGTATC